GTGCTCTCTTTCGTTGCTTAAAAATGAAATTTTTCATTTTTACAATAAATGTTCAGCTTTTTATATTCATGAAAGACAGACAAACATAATATAAAATCAAGCAAAATTACGGAGTCTTCGTTCAAGTCGATAATGTTGATAGTCATCCTAATTACATTTGTATCCACCTCTAGCATCAATAAGTTGTATAGGACAAGAATATATGAGAAAATAAGATTTGGTTGATTAATTGCATTAATTCCATGTGTAATATTCCTGAATCTTCAACGTGTTTTAGTTTCTTATTGATATACAAGAGTACAGTGGTGGATATAAGTGGGGACGATGGGTGCACAACCGACCCATGCCCTTATTTAAATCCATGATGGCAAACGTTTTGTCTACAAATAATACCCCTACCGTTATGTTTTAGAGTGCCCTTCTAATTTTAGACCAAATTTAATTATGGCGGTGGTGATGATGATAATGACGATGGTGATGATGATGATGATGATAATGACGATGGTGATGATGATAATGATGATGATGATGGTAAAGATGATGAATATGGTGATGATGATGGTAATGTTGATGATAATGATAATGCAAATGATGATGTTGAAGATGATGAAAATTATAACGATGATGATGATTGTAATGATGATGATAATGATGGCATTTTATAAAGCGACGGTATCCGTTTCTGCTGGCCGCTCACGGCGCTTTCTCTACAGTTTCTCACCAAATGTCTTAGTCAGTGTCTACATACAAATTTATGCTGACTGAAGTGAAGTGCAGGTTGTGTTTGATTTTGTGAAAGCCCTTCTTTGTGAAAGAAACTTCATTAGAAAAGTAAAAAAATTAAACATCAACCTCATTTTATCTTTATGACTAAGATTGCTATAATCGAATTATTAACACATCTATATTTTATTACAGACTCCACATCATTTCATCAGTTGATTTCTTATGTTATGTTATGCATAGGCGCAAATACTTTTTCCTTGGTCAATGCCCGACTTGTTTAACTTTTACATTAAAACAAGCTTTTATTAAAAGGTCGAAACGTAAATGCATCCAAAATATCATTAATTCATCTTTTTTTTTACATAACGAAAAATATTTACTCATCTAGCTGAAACCAACCATGTTTGATTGAAAAGGAATACGAGCTGAGACGGTGTTTAAAAACGCGTCATAATGCCTTTAAGTTTTCTCACAAATGTCGATGGGCTAGTTGGTTGCGCTTGGCCGAGCCCCACGCGTCAGAAGGCGTCAAAAGAAGTAATTACTTCATCCTCATACCATGGAAGAGGGCTGAGACGAGAAGCTCCCCATTACTAAATCATTAACTCCCCAACTTCTCATATCACACAGATTTACATTTCCTCACTCCGCTCAAAAAGAAACTGCCAAAATGAGAAATGTGAAAGCCGGCGAATCATCATTACCACAGACGTTTCCACGTTATTTTTCATCGTTAACGGATGCATTTTTTCATGCGCGGTAATACACTCTGGGGAATATTTTCCACTCATTTTCATACATTTCATTTGGAGAAGTTTGACAGGGTCGTTAAAATCAGATAGCTCTCGTGCTGCGCTTGAACGATTAAGCATATGCTTCTCACCGACTGGGGTTTGGTGATTGGGGGAGAGAGCGGAGAGAAGCTGGGTTTGACGGGGCGGCGGGGTAACGCGACTTGGGGCGTCGTGGTTCCCCTACGCGCATGATAACCCCTTGGTGCGTGAGGCGTGAAAACTCGTCATGGCCGCTCCTCGGATAAGGCAGCAAGAAAATACACGCGGAATGTCTTTATGGGGAATGAACGAACGAAAATCATGTATCATGCCTATGTCATCATCGAATATGATCATTTATTGAGGAGTTCACGTGCAGTGGTCGAATGCTGGCGCTATTAGCCGATACTTTAAGACCCAAATAGCAATAAACGTTAAAAGAACATGAAAAAGCAAAGTGGACGGGTAAGGGCGGGTAAGGTCAGCTTTTTTTGGTCACCCATTACCACAAATTTTTTTTCGCAACCACTCATAAAAAAGTTAAAGGGGAGGTGTTCTTGTTATCAAGAAATAATTTTATGTTGTAAAGCAAAGGTAATTCTTGATATCAAGAATTCGATTTCGTGATATCAGGAATTCAATTTCGTGATATCAAGAATTTAATTCTTGATATCAAGAAATATGTTTTAATGATAAAACTGCTTGCCATAAGATCGCGCCAGCTCGCCACAACTCGAGGCTCCAACTCGGCTAAGTGGGAGCCCTGCTTAACGTTTGTCAGAGACAGACTCGTAGTTCGCTCGTTATGATCGACAGAGGGCATTCTACTTGAAATGACTAGGTGTGAAATTGATTCGCAGCAGATCTATTCAAGTTCAAACCCCCCAATTCATGAAGGGTGTTTAAAGTCAATGATTTAAATCACCGATATTTGGTCGATCAATATTATTGAGACAGACTAAACAATAACAATCACAATACAAAAGGAGGGGCAAAAACAGAACAGACTAAAAAGAACACCCGCAGACATCTTTGCCCCCCCCCCCTTTTTTGTGTTGTTGTTCTCCTGTATTTCTGACGTCAAAGTGTTTTTCACATTTTGGGGGACTTCTTTGCTGGGTATCTTAAACTTCATTATCAGAGTCTCAGTTTAAATCATATTCTTGAATTCGGATCAAAGTATTTCGTCTTGTGTAAATATTTCTTTATTCTATCGGACAGCTAAGGGTGTTTTATTTGATATCATCTTGATTGCAGAGGATTGAATAAAGGGATTAACCCACCTCACAATGACAAGTATGCATACAAATAAAATCCCTTACAAATTGACCTATTTCGGACTCGAGAAATGTTTGTTAGCACTACTTAATAGGTCTACATGTATTGTACATTAAGTCGCCTTTCCAATTTGACATCACTAACAAGAGAGAAAGTCATATATATTATAGAAATAATTAAGTAATGGTGAATCTTTGTTCAATACTTTCTATTTCATATATAAGCCTTTTAATAATAAACCCTTATTGAATTGAATTGAATTGAATTTAACTTCCTTGCTCAAAGCGATAACTCAGTTCGGTCCATGTGATATATAGTTTGATGTGAAAGCCAACTAAAGGAAACTTAAAATGACCGAATGGGTGTGGTTAAGTTTGTGTGCCTGTGTATAAGAATGAATGGGTATGTATAGAATGTGTGGTGTGTGTGCGTTTAGTACGTGTGTGCGCGTGAGTACGTGCGTGTGCGTGAGTGCGTGCGTGTATCTGTGATTTGACTTTCATAGACGTCTACCAATCAGATGTGATCATTGTCGGTGTACGCGTGTGTTGGGTTTGCCTCTTATAGACGTGTACAATCAGAGCTGACTATTTTCGTCTGGGGAACAACCTTTTAAAGTTGCTCATGTGGGGGTATATAGAGGGCAGAACAGGAGGCAATGTTTGCGAGATTTCAAAAATTGACTTGCGCCAAAGTGATGCCTACAGTATGTGATATGTTGGGATTAAAGTGAGAGAATGAGATGCATTGCATATGCTTTTTGCAAAAGCAAAGTCACACATACACACACACGCGCGCACAAAATTATGTTCGTCAATATTTGATATTCGATGTTTGATATTTGTGGCATGATCAATTTTGGTAGGGATGTTATTTGGATCTGCAATAACCGAATTAATACCCAAATCCCCATTGTTTTATTCAAACTACACATAAGCAACTTTGCGGCAAGCCGATTTTTGCACTTTAGCAAACAATGCGTCCTGTTCATCAAAGCGTGAACACACACCACACAAAAATGATACTAAATTATTCCGGATAAAACACTCTTTCATAAAATGTATAATAATTTACTGTTCATAGATGATTGATAAAATAATAAGCAATTTCCTAGGTGTAAACTTTTTTTTTTGACTCACACTGTAGTAAATCTCTATCATCAGAGTAGCGTATATCACGACCTAGGATGATATGGCATGCAGGCACGCCTTTGGATACGCTTCTAGCTTTTAGTTTTTAGTTGTTATACAATTTAATACCAAATAGTTATAATTTACTTAAACGGAAATTATGAAACAATCCCTTATGTTCATATGATGATGAGTAACACGAAAATCTTTCATTTGTTCGTAAAATGCAAACACACAAGATTGTTTTTGTTCAGATCTGGAGACTTAGATCGAAAACTTGACAATGTTGATTTTTTTTTTCTCAACAATTTCGTGTTAATTAAAGGTTATGACTTGAAAAACAAAATGTTCAAAAAATTGAATTTTCTTATCATATATTATGCATAATACGTAATTTATCCAACATTTATGCAAGCAAAAAAATCGCAAACTTATGTTTCACAGAGTCTCTGTTCTTAGTTTTTTTTTCAAAAGATTAATCTTAAACCGTTTAAAGATCGTAAAGGACTGTAAACCAAAAAAGTTATGAATTTTTGAAAACACTGTAATTTAAGAAAATGAAACATGTTTTATGTGAATTATGTGAAGATGCTACGATGTTATTTCAATTTGATTGTCTATGATTGTTTGATTAGTTCAAAAGCATATATTTATCAAATTAAATTTACAAAAAACAAAATAATGATATGATCTGGCAAATATTGATAACGATTTGATTGTCCTTGAACAGCAATACCATATAATCAATAAAATGTTTGTCATATCTTTTATGCACATATTTAGCCCACAGCATAATTAACAGTAGCTTAGCTCTTAAAGTTAATATTCGACCCAAAATATGCAATTATGCTACGGAATATTACGCTAAAGCCTCATTAAAGCCTTTTATTAATGACATTATAACTCAGTTAGTTAACTACGAGTAATATTATTACTCTTCAAAATGTTAATATTTATAAGTAATGTCATTAAATACTTAGAATAGCCTTTAAAATATGATAGTATATTGTTGTGTCATTGCGTTTCTCTAAATACTGTATATATATATATATATATATATATATATATATATATATATATAAGATAAGATAATTTCTAGAATCAGAACGCTCATATATATATTCAATTTGATATCATTTCATTATGTTTCTGAACCTGAGAACATGTATTTGCTTCTTGCATGGGATCCGTCATACATATATCAGTACGAATACAATAATGACATAGTTACAATGTCAATTCCTGATAACCTGTTGTAATACCATTTATGTGTCGGCGTACGAGGAGGATATTTGTCAAAGCAAGTTATATCAATTTTCATTATCTTGTAGGAAGATTCTCATGCACTCCTGACTGATGTTCCCACCGGAAAGGATCACACCAACATTAATGACCTCTGCCGGAAGTGACGCAAACTTTTCGCTAAAGATGGCGGCCAAAGGGACTCCAGCACACGGTTCAACGCATTGTTTCAAATAATGCCAGACGAGGAGAGTAGCATTCTAGGAAGCGACGGAAGGAAAGACGGAATTTTGATTAATTGATGGCTTAAATTCAAGTCATAAAGGATTAACGCAATCATAGTCACAAGTCACAACTTTTCCATGCCCCCTTTTAAAACACAATGTATATTAATTAAGTATACATTGCCCCAAATGCGCCAATTGTTAAATATCAACCCCAAAATAGCATCCTTAAAATATGATTTTCTTTTTCTTTCTCTCCTTTAATAACAAAAGTTATTTTTTATAAAGCACCTTCATCACTTTTTTTTTTAATGCACGAATCAAGTGGAACCTCTCCATTTTTTAAAAGACCTTACGTAGAAAAATGAGGTTATTTGTACCAAATCTTAACTACGAACTGATCGGTTAGAAAATCGCACGGGCATCACCTTGATTTCATCTTCGGATACCGATATGACGTCATCGACGTACTCCTTGATGATTGGCCAGGTATTCGAACCAATAGAAACTCTCAATCCATCTGCAACGGTTGAGTTTGCCTTTTCTACATGATTTAGTTGGCAGAGATTGCCGTTACGGAGTGAAAGTTCGCATGAGTTCGAGAGTGAAGGCTCTGCTCCAATGATCAAAATATTGGGTTTTATTGCCTGGTATGAGAGAAAGTAAGATAAGTGAGTCATCCGTAAATAGATGCATTATATAGTTTTTTACATGAAAATATCATATCAAATTCGGGTGTAGAGTCTTTTCTCATTCTCCTAAAACGAAAAAACTTAGTCTGGCTGTGCTCTACGTTTGCAAGCAAAATTATTTTCTTAAGGGTAATACAAAGTTTTGGGAAATTTTGAAAAATGGGTTGATAGTGATTCTTTACAATTTTGATATATTTGGATGCCCCTGTGGATGTATTAAAAGCACTAGAAAATTTAGCCCCTGAAACACTTCTGCTTTCGAGAAAAATTGAATATAAAGATTTACCGGTGCTCCCGGTAAATTTTGATAAATTTCAAATAGCTTCTACGGCCGTACAATGGTAGCTGCGACCATGAAAATCTCAGAGTATGTAGTTGTGGTATTATAATTTCCAAACGAGAATAGCTAATCGGTCGATTTTATTCAATAAACATTGTTTTATAGCTTAATTAATATCTTGACCTTGAGAGGGAGCTATTCAACATAAAGTGTTTATTATTTACAATTTCATATCTTTAGAGTCGATTTCGACCGCGACAACGATCACTGAATATTGTAGGATCGTATATGCTTCCAATATGATCATTTGAACCAAATTCATGACCCCATACCAAAACTTTGTATTACCTTTAAGTTATTTATGTGAATCTCAGTCATCATCAATTAAAGATATTTACAGACAACAAAATCGAATATTTCTATCAATACAAGGCAAAACCGTTATTGGATTTGTGTGGGGGTAAGGTAAGGGTGTGAAGGAATAACATACATGTGCCTTTTGTGTAATAATAGTAATAAAAATAATGGTAATAACACTAGATTGCTTAGTAAACGCAAAATACCAACGAGGTCTCTCTGTGTGTTAGAATATCACCGTATTAAATGTCACGAAAAAATTAGATTACACATTCAAGAACGATAGCGTTTTCAATTCGGATTTAAGTTCATCTAACTGAGTGATATTCCTTAAATTCCGTGGGAGTTTATTCCAAAGTTCTGGTATCTTGATCGATATGTGTCTCGATCCGTATTAATACGGACTAATAGGTGACACAACCGAAACAGCACTTTTATTTTACCAAATATATTATCCTCACCTCCATTTAAATCGAAGCATCAAGACCTAGGCGTGGGGTTTGAATCCCTATCGCAACATTATATTGTCCTTTGTATAGTCATTAATCTTTATTAGCTATGCTCTCTATCCAGGTAAGTTAAATGGGTACCTGGCAGGAATTAATTCCTTCAAATGCTTGAGCGAATTATATGGCAGCCGTGCTAAACCCCGGGTAATAATAAAAATGAAGCGCCAGGAGTAGCATTGTGCCAAATACAAGAACTCACACTAAATATTAATAACCAACCTTAGCAATCGTTGCTATGCCAGATATAAGTCCTCCTCCACCTACTGGTACCACAATCGCGTCCAATTCAGGGACCTGTTAATAACATTGAAATCATAATAATAATAGCAACAATATTCCGGGGTTATATGGCGCTTAATTAGTACACCGAAGATATCTCTAAGCATCTAAGATATATTATTACCCGGTCATTAGATTCAGGCTCGCCCGCACAATCATAATGTATGCACATTCTCCGTTCCCTACGGAGCATTCCAGCAATAAGCTATCTTTTCAGACTCTCACAATGCTGAGCAAAGTACAATGCCATTGGCATCCCAGCGGGTACCCTTTTTAACGCCTGGGTGGAGAGTGGCGAAAAGTGGATTAATGTCTTGCCGAGGGACGTTAGTGTCGTGCTGGGATACACAAACCTTTGATTGAGGTTCAAGTGGATGAGCCACTGTACCATGATGCCTCCACAAAGACAAACCAAGATAGAAACAAGCATTGCCAGGCTGCAACAATGTAATCTGAGATTCAGATTTTTCAAAATACACAGTAGCTATAACATGCCTAGGCCTATTTATATTTTAGAAAACTCGAGTTGGAAACAAACATTAAAGGTAAAGACCAGTTATGGTCATGCGATTGCATTGTGAAAGAAACGTTGTGGAATCGATCAGAAAAGGTTGATCATCTAGCATCTAGCATCTGCAAGGTTCTGGAATCATCAAAATGATAAGAAATTTGGCACATTCTTCGTAAAGTTACAAGCGCTATACACAGAAAGATGTATATGGGACTACCCTATATCTCTCACAGACCATGAGAGAAACAAATTTACCAAATATATGAATTAGTAGGCGGTTTCCCGGCAAATTTTTTATCATCATGTATTAGTCAAAACATGTTCTTTCACATGATTGGTAATGAGAGCTTCCATTTTCCAATACTGGTCTTTACCTTTAATTAAGAGGAGCACAATCCATTCATGCTAACACATTTTGATAGGGCCCGTAATTTGGTTAGTTATTTTGTATGTTGTTATGTGCTCTGTCGTTTGGATCAATCCACAACAGCAAAATCAAATTTCGTTTGTTTGTTTGTTCGCACTTGTGTACCGAATAGGAAAGCACTGTGTTTACGTCATCGACTTTCCTCAATAATCTAGACCCTGTGACAATGGCAATACCAATATCGCACAAATTTCAGATTAGGCGGATTTCCTTAACACAAAAATTAAGACGATTTGTGCGATTGCCTCTGAAAGTAGGCCTACATATAATGAAAAGTATTCAACAGTTTAAAAATGAACTTTTTAAATATTTTTTTTAATTCATTAATATAAATGCATAAGGAGTGCTAAAGAATATCAAAATTAACTAGAAAGAAGAGAACATATTATTGCTTTCAAAATGAATCGAGTATATCTCCTTGAGAGGTAATGGCAAGCGCTTAAAAGTTCTATCGTTCTTTTACCAGACAAGTCCTTCGTGCTTTGTAATCATTTGTTTTTCATCTGCGTTTTATTATTTGTTGAATAAATAGTGAATCGTGAAATAAAACATGAAAACAAAATGAGATAGATAACATTTTGGGACTTTCGAACCTGGCTTAAGAATTCCAACCCAACAGTGCCTTGACCAGAAATGACGTCATAAGTTTGTCCTGATGATATGTATAAAGCCCCTGCCTCGACAGCCGATCTTGGCTTGGCAACCTAACAGTGATGATATTGTAAAATACAAATTCAAGTTTAAATTTATTTTGTCCACATAACTCACAAAAACAAATTACAAAATGGGTAAAATATGTAAAAAGATAATCATAACAAAATATTAAAAATATTAAGATAAAAACCGAAACATGGAATAAAGAACGGTACATGTAACGGTAACAAATACACGGAGTATGCAATTGTATAGCATACAAAATTAATATACACTGTCTTGAGAGGTTCTGGTTTAAAATATGGCAAGAGGTGACTCCAATAGTACTATTGGAGTCATCGAGAGCCATAGTTTTAACCAGTACCTGGAAAAGAGGGCATGGTATATTTGTTTTATATCCTGCATCAAAACATTGTTTAAAGAATTATTTTAAGAATTTGTTTATATAAAAAAATCAGAGTTTCCTTGACTAATATTAAAAAAGCGCTCCCGAATGGTGTTATATTTCACCGAGGCCGCAGGCCGAGATTAAAATATCATCGCACGTGAGAAATTCTGAATTTGGAGTTGAATAAAAGAAGCGCCATAAATATAAAACTGGGGGTATTAGCGATCATTTGGAGTCAGTTTCTCTCGATTACACTTTTGGTTGCCTTCGCGTCAGATGCGCGCGAAAACAATGCAAACAATGGGTCCGCAGGGAAGAGAAGTGCGCAGTTTAATTCACCTTTTTAAATGAAAATAAAATACATAGCTATGTGCATCGCAAAATGATGTATGTGCCACAGACGATCACGACAAATAAAGAATTGTTTGCCTGTGGCCTCAGAGGTGTTTCTCAGTGTTACAGACTTCACGGAAAGATAGGTATGACAACTTCCTAGCCCCCCCCCCCCCTATGTTTGAAAACAGTCTTTAATACGACGACCCTGTCTAAAGTCTGGTTATACATTATATGAAGCTCCTGTTTACCCGTTCTTGGTCTCCGGTGAAGAGCTGTACTTTAGCTCCTAGTGATTCAACCAGTGTCTTCTTCAGGGGCGAGCAATCTCTACTCATAAGGATCGTGCAATTCTTGATGCCTGTGGATCCGGCGGCCACGGTCAGTCCTGCTGCAAAGTTCCCTGAACTGTATGTCACAAGGTTGACGTCAGAGGGGTCGATACCTGTCTCCAGTAGTTTTGTAAGGGCAGAACGAGCACCACGAACCTGGAAAAGAGATCGGAGAGGTTTGATATAGTTGGGCACCTGGTACGGGACTAATTTCCTCGTTTCAACAATTCCTCGTTTCAACGACATCCCGCCGGGAGGAGATCGTTTTACCCTCAAGCATTGTAAAGGGAATATCTGATAATTCTTTTCTACGGTTTATTTTTATATATATATATATATATATATATATTTTTTTAAAATTTATTTCTCTATTTTTTCATTTTTTTTTTTCATTTTTTTTTTTTATCATAACCCTTCTTTTTTTCTCTGAAGGAAATTTAATAGGAAAAAAAATATTGTGGAAAAGAAAAGAACAACTTGAAATTTATACGCAAACTGGTCATAGTACAAACTTTATTTGCGATTTGTTTGAAATGTGAAAATATAATTTTTTTAAAAATATTTTTCATCTGTAAATGTGCAACTTTGTTTGTAACTTTGTATGGAAATGTAAAAGTTCAAATTTATTTAGACCTATGTGAAGATTATTTTGTTACTTTGTATACAATGTTATAAATTATGTACAATTTTCTTTATGAAAGGAGAGAATAAAAAAAAGAGTTTATACTGATTTGTACATGTTATATGGCATGAACGCGGTGCGTTTCTTCTTTAACCTTGCTACAAGCCCATGTATAAAATATCTTATTCACCTACAATACTGTGAAATGATATAAAGAGTGTGCCAGTCCATATATTATGGTATACGACTAATGGGGATCGGATATAGATTTGTATGATGATGATAACGATGATAATTGCTATCATTATTATCATCATTATAATCATTATCATTATTAATATATTATTATTATCATCAGCGTCATCAACATAATCATTAATACCAGTTAATATTGTAGTAGTACTACAATAGTAGGCCTAGTAGTAGTGATATCATTTTACTTGTTATTATCCTGAGGCTGATTATCACAATACGTCATGTGCCAAGGATGTATTGCTATATACTACATCCAAGATGTCTACCAAAACTCTCGATTCGTTGGTGAAATATATTATCAGGAGAAAAGAAGAAACATTAGAATACACATTTTTAATTCAATTAAAATATAAGGAAGGAATAAGTAGAGAAAATCATGACAATAGACATTATGTCATAAACTGTTGTCTTTAAGCTTACCTTTATTTGCATCTGGTATGAGATTTGCTTGGTCATTTTCAAACTTGACCGACACATAGGGTTCTAACTACATGTAACAGGAAAACATCATTTAAGATTGTGTCTAAGGATGTGGGGGTCATTCCAGTTGTTATCTTAGTTGTTTCGGTTTGTTTTACCATTCAGTGTATGGTGTGTTGGCTCAGTCAGTAGAGCGTCCGCCTCACAACCGGGAGGGCGTGGGGTTCGAACCCCGGCCGCATCATACCAAAAGACGTTAATAGACGGGAGTTGCTGCTACCTTGTTTGGCGTTCAACAATAAGGGATAGAGCAACGTCGATCTGGCGATGCTCAGTGGCTGCCCGAGTGGCTGCCAGGCTCACGATCAATTGGGCAAAAAGAATTTCCATTTTCGGTTTAACTTTTAAAAAAATTGGAGTGGACTTTAAAAGATTATTATTATTATTATCAAAAGATGGACAATACATCCACGCAATTTTGGAAAGTTGATCTAGGCCTAATCACTCTGTGATATATCATTTTAGGAACCACTCTCTACGGTTATTGGCGCTTGGGTTTAGAGGTATGAATGAATGGCGACACAGCCCTACCTTAAAAGATCCTGTCTTCTGTAAGTGTTCGCATTTAAAAAACACTTTCCTCCCTCGGGTCTTCTGATCCAGCTTCGACGACGTCATCACCGGCGTCTGATGGATTTGACCAGCGATTCTCTTCGCGCTTGCCCGGACAGATTCCTCAGTAACAGAAGTCGTAACGCTGAACGGCAATGGTGAGCCCTGTCGTTCTGACGCCATGACTGATCTGAAAACAAACCAAATATTCTAATTTACTATGTCTAGGAGAATTTCGTTTTTGTTTTTTCTTTCTATCTTATGTTTGTTACATGTATTTTTCTCTAAGCGCCATGAGTAATGAAAGGTGGACCTGGGGGTGTTTCATAAAGCTGTTCGTAAAGCACTTTACGAACAGCTTTATGAAACACCCAGGCGCGGATCCAGGGGGGGGGGCCGAGCGGGCCTTGGCCCCCCCCCCCCCCCCCCGGCAAAAAAAAAGAAGAAAAAAAAAAGAGAAGAAAGGAAAAGAAGGGAAAGGGAAAGAGGAGAGAAAGGGAAAGAAAGAAGAGGAAGAAGAAAAGAAAAGGGGGAAGAAGGAGATCGGGGGGGGGGGCCAAAGGGCCTTGCCTCCCAGGCTGTCGCCCCCCCCCCCCCCCCCACCCATCAAAAAAATAATAGAGAAGGAAGGAAAGGGAAAGAAAAAAGGAAAATAGGAGATACTGGCGTACTGATAGAGGGGGGGGGGAGGGGGCTTGGGGGAAATCAAATTCAAACGTGTTTTATTTCAAATTCCATAATTGTGGATTACAAATAACGCTGAAATTACATAATTTCCGAGATTTTTCCTCACTTTTTAGTAAATTATACTTTTTTATGCGTTTGTTGGAAAATGACAAATTCCTAAATTTACAGCCAGGCAAGAAATATAATTCTTGAGATTCCTACATGTCAGGGCCCGAGGAACGGCGGGAATCGGGAGCCTCGAGCCCCCCCCCCCCCACACACTTTAAAAAAAAGTATATTAAAGAGAAATTAAAAAAAAGAAAGAGAGCAAGAAAGAAAGAATAGTTAACTGCCAGTGTTAACAAATAAAGAGGCATCAAAATAAGATCATCTGACCGTGATTAAATGCCTAAAACCCCTAAGCTTCCGGGGGATCTACCCCCTGGATTCCACCTAGGTCCCTAAGGTGGGCCCTTCGATGCTCATCTGACGGTTACTTAATGCCTAAAACCCCTGATTTTGGGGGGCTCCCACGCCAAATAGTGTCCTGCCAGTGACACAAAATAATAAGGATTATAACAAAATGCTCATCTGACCGTAAATAAACGCCTAAAACCCCTGAGTTCCGGGGCTCTGCCCCCTGGATTCCACCTTGGGCCCTAAGACGGGCCCTTCGATGCTCAGTTGACGGTAATTTAATGTCTAAAACCCCTGATTTGGGGGGGGGGGCTTTGTCCCCTTGACCCCACGCCTAAGTGTCCTGCCAGTGTGACAAAATAATAAGGATTATAAAAAATGCTCATCTGACCGTAATTAAACGCCTAAAAAACCCGAACTTCCGGGGGCTCCACCGCCTCGACCCCACTAGGGGCCCTACGGCGGGCCCCTGAATGCTTGTCTGACCGTAATTTATTGCCTTAAACGTCTGAGCTTCCGGGGTCGGACAAGGTATCAACATGTGTTAATCTGACCGCAGGCGCGTAGCCAGGGGGGCGGTGGGGGCGGTACCCAAACAATCACCGCCCCCCCCCCTAAAAAAAAGAGGAGAGAAAAGGAAGAGGACGTAGAAAGAAAAAGGAGCAGACAAAGAACATCTTTAAAATTCAGACAAAGATTAGTGTAGAGAACGGTACAACGCATCGTCTTCTTTCTCTAATAATTTAATGAAACGTAAAAGCCCCCGCGCTTCGCGCGGGAGGGGGAAAACTGAACTCAGACGAGGATTAAGCATCAAGAACGGTACAAGGAATCGCCTTGTTTCTCTAATGATTTAAAGAAATGTAAAAGCTTCCGCGCTACGCGCGAGAGGGGGGGGTAACTGAATTCAGACGAGGATTTTTTTTCGAAAACGGTACAACGAATCGTCTTCTTTCTCTAATAATTTAATGAAACGTCAAAGCTTCCGCGCTTCGCGCAGGAGGGGTTGGGGGGTTGGGACTACATTTAGACAAGAATTAAGAGTCGAGAACGGTACAACGAATCGTCTTCTTTCACTAATGATTTAAAGAATCGTAAAAGCTTCCGCGCTTCGCGGGAGGGCCCGGGGGGGGGGGGCGAAAATGAATTCAGACTAGGATTATTTTCGAGAACGGTACAACGAATTGTCTTCTTTCTCTGATGATTTAATGAATCGTTAAAGCTTCCGCGCTTCGCGCGGGAGGGGGAAAACTAAATTCAGACGAGGATTAAGAGTCGAGAAATGTCAAACGAATCGTCTTGTTTCTCTAATGATTTGAAGAAATGGAAAAGCTTCCGCGATTCACGCAGGAGGGGGGGGGGTGGGACTGAATTTAGACAAGAATTAAGAGTCGAGAACGGTACAACGAATTGTCTTCTTTCTCTAATGATTTAATGAATCGTAAAAGCTTCCGCGCTACGCGCGGGAGGGGGGGGGGGGTAACTGAATTCAGACGAGGATTTTTTTCGAAAACGGTACAACGAATCGTCTTCTTTCTCTAATAATTTAATGAAACGTCAAAGCTTCCGCGCTTCGCGCAGGAGGGGTTGGGGGTTGGGACTACATTTAGACAAGAATTAAGAGTCGAGAACGGTACAACGAATCGTCTTCTTTCACTAATGATTTAAAGAATCGTAAAAGCTTCCGCGCTTCGCGCGGGAGCCGGGGAAAACTGAATTCAGACGAGGATTAAGAGTCGAGAAATTTACAACGAATCGTCTAATTGTTTCTCTAATGATTTAATGAATCGTAAAAGCTTCCGCGCTTCGCGCGGGAGGGGGAAAACTGAATTCAGACGAGGATTAAGAGTTGAGAAATGTACAACTAATCGTCTTGTTTCTCTAATGATTTAATGAAACGTAAAAGCTTCCGCGCTTCGCGCGGGAGGGGGGAACCTGTATTCAGACGAGGATTAAGAGTCGAGAACTGTACAACGAATCGTCTTGTTTCTCTAATTATTTAATGAAACGTAAAAGTTTCCGCGCTTCGCGCGGGAGGGGTGAACCTGAATTCAGACGAGGATTATTTTCGAGAACGGTACTATATGAATCGTCTTCTTTCTCTAATAATTTAATGAAACGTCAAAGCTATCGCGTTTCGAGGAGGATGGAGGGGGAAAACTCGCCCCTCCCTGCACCCACCCCCCCCCCCCCGCATTACGTCACTGCTGGTCACCATTACGTTCCAATTTTTGGCTCGCATAATTTCAATTTTGGGCCCCCCTCCCCCCTAAGAAATCCTGGATCCGCGCCTGGAAACACCCCCCTGTGCGCTTTACAAGTAGCCGTATTATTATTATTATTATTTAATAGTCGGGTTCCTTCGCTTACTTCAAATCATCGGGTAGCCGCGTCGGGTCGGGTGGTTGCGTTATACCCGACTTTATATTAAGACATGCCACTAATTTATCCACGAAATATCGTGGTTAATGTTTGTGAAATAAATCCCTCTCATCTACATATGGTCTGGTCAATTTACCATACACTTTGTGAAAACCCTATGACAATTCTACGAAAGGTCGCGTCATCTTCCGCTTTCGTTTCACGAAATGCCGTGTAGAAAGGCCGTGTAATGCGACTACCCCACCGGACGCGATGGCCGGGCCGATGATTCGAAGTAAGCCGATTCCTTAGGCCCAGATATAAATCTTAGTTTTGGGGACACTGAGAGGAAAAAGGCTCCAAACTTAATACAGATACTTAGCATGCCCAGAGATTATATTATCTCTACAGAACCAATTAATCCACTTTTTTCATGTGGTTTATTATGCTGGTTTGTGGATTTTGGTGGTATTAAATTGGCATTCAAATATTAACTCTTCAAAATGCATGTATTGATTTATATTCTTTTCCACAAAACCCACAAAATCAAATAGTATCCATGGTTAAATATTCGAATTTATGCAAATTTTTGTAATTGTGCCATTTTCTCCGCTGAGCATACTAATGTATATTGTATTCCTTTTGCAGCTAACATCAAATTCTGTAGAACTTTGCATGAATTATGAACATGTCACGTATGTCCTATCTTTGAAATTTAAACGTTAGCAGTGTCCTATTGTTCAAATTATGCAAGGAAACCTGTTTACTTTCTAGACTTCAATGTCAGACACTATTGACTGACTGGTTTTTTTTCTTTGGTACTAATATACATAAAATGAGCTGTAAAGGGTACATGAGCATCTAACGAACATTTTCAGCCAACATAATTGTTCTAAAATGCCTAATAACACTGGTGGACCCCTAACACATAGAATTTGGGCAATTTGGGCACCGATTTGTCTAAAATCAGTCGGTGGCATCGTTTTCAGTATTAAAGTTTACTTTGGAATACACATTTATAAAAATAAAAAAGTGAACACCGTTTTCTTGTTGGAGCCGTCTGTTTAGCCTACCTCACTATTTGTGTTGAAAGATGATGACAGAGACATATACAGCATAACTCGGGCAGATCAAGCCAACGGATTCTCCCTACCATGCAGCTCCTCGTTTATATACAGCTCTATAAAATCAAAATGCTAGACATAAAAACAAAAAAACTCACTCCTCCGAAAATTAAGTAGCAGGCAGCGCCTCACTGACAGATTCATCAAAGCAAAATCAACTAGCTAGAACTACAATCGTGTTAGAACGATATGCACGCAATTACGTCCGTATTTGCCGTTGATAATGATCTTGATACAGGTTGAAGATCTCGTAAGAAATCTGTAGTATGCAGGATAGTGGAGATAGAGGTAGATATTAATAAGGTGCTAAAAACGGATCCGAAACAGACAACAATGGCGCTTGAATAATTGAGCTGACCTGTCACGCATGGGTGATGTCGGAAAGGGATCAGTGATCACGAAGGGGTGCTATCATCAAACACATCCAAAAGACAAAAGACACTTCCGGCGCCTATGGTTGCTACGCAACTACCGGCGGAACAGCGGAATGTATGAAAAAAGTCGACGATTTTCGGTTGCAGTGTATTTGCAGCTTCTACGAAGTTTGAAAAGAATCGGGACAGAGAAACAAAATGAGTTATGGCGGAGGCAAGTGAAGGTCCTGTGTCGCGAACTACTCTGAAAGTTTGCCCTTTTTATCATGTTTTAAGTGGGTTACCTTTATGATGGATTTCTTACTTTTTTCCATCAACCAAAAGCGACTTTTATACTAAGGGGAACCGCTGTGTTTTATTGCGAGCCACTGGCTTTTTATTGCGATTTCACAGAAACAACTATACTATATATTATATCTTTGTATTTTATGAAACTAATAATTTGAATTGAAGTGAGAAAAGAAAAAAAAAAGCTAGATGACTTTTCAGAAGTTTTCATTATCCAAAGACAAAAGGTATCACACAATAATTCTATGTTATTATATAGAGTATGGTTTGCTTGATCGTTTTTATTTTTAACTAAGCAAATCACTACACCACTTGCTGCCAACATTATGCTTTCATGATTATAACCCAAAAAAAATCAAATATATAACTGAATATACAAACTGAACAACATAACAACTCTATCATTGTAGCCATATTTTCTTCAGGTACTTTATTATCTTTTCTTTTCATTGGTCGTGCAATGAATTCTGTTCTGCAACATACACAACTAGACTTCATCTCTTTTACTAGATATATTTGTACATAAATACACTTTTCAAACCCTTCTTTGTATCTTAATAAATGGAAGTCCAATTCAACCTTTAAAATTGTTGATTTTATGCTCATTTCATCCATTTCATATACGATATATATTTGTATTTGTTCATTTAGTACTTGTTAAATATGAATCATATATAAGTTATTCAATAACAGCAACATGTTGAAACTTTGCCTCCTCAATTTTTTTAATACAAATAGATGTCAATTCAGCTTAACTCTTTACATGCCACACAAATAAATCCCTTGTCCCACATAAAGGGATAGGTATACCAAAGCCGTCAAGATTTATTTCAATTTTTTTTCAGTGCAAGATTGAACTAGAAGACACATACCGTAGAAGTAGGCTATCATGGGGAATTTCACACCATTTGGGTATTTACCCAATAACAGGTTTTGTCAATCGCCAGGATTAGCCTTCAGTATAATGACCAACCTGCTTTATGTAATGCTCTGTCTTTTCCCCATATGGTTCAGTCCTAATCTGACATTTGCATCACCCGAGGACTCAGAAGAGTGGGTATTTCTTGATTGGCCTACAGGGTTTGTACGTCCATTAATGGTATCCACCAAGTCTGGTGTCAGCAGATTATGACCTTCTGCATATGGAAACACCCTCTTGTCTCTGGGAGTCTTCGGGTGATAGGAGGGGCGATAGGAGGGGTGATAGGAGGGGCGATAGGAGGGGTGATAGGAGGGGCGATAGGAGGGGTGATAGGAGGGGCAAAAGCTCAGTTGGTAGAGCAGTGGTCTCGTAAACCAGCGACCTGGGTTTGAAACCAAGGCGATGTGCTAGTGCACTTTGGTAAGGCATTAATCCTCATTACCAGGTCCCTCGGAGAGGACCTAAAGCCGTCGGTCCTGTTATTGCTTACTAACAAGCATTTATTCTTTCTTAGCTGTCAGGTAAAATAACCACCACTACTACACTACTCAATCCATTTAATCTATACCAGTTTTAAAAAGGGTTGTTATGAAACTAATCAAGACCAGAAATAGATAATTCAACAAAGCCATTGTGTTGCACAAAGCAATAAATGATATAAGAATGATACCAAAATAAATTACAAATCATACTACATATTACACAGTGCAAACTGCTTAAAGAGAAGGTTTAGTTCTGGGAAGAAATGAAAAATAATTTGGGAGCGTTACCATTGTTGTTATACAAGTGTGGAAGAACATCAGATAAAACATGTTCACTGAAAAGCATGGCTCTTCAAATGCCTCCATATTCTAAATATGTCATGTAACATCGTAAAAATCAGGACGGATTTTTACGCCACGTGTTCGTGTAGTCCCCATATACATCTTTCTGTGTACAGTGTTTGTAACTTTACCAAGACTTGGCCAAATTTCTTATCATTTTTGATGATTCCAGAACCTTGCAATACACATATGCTAGATGATGAACCTTTTCTGGTCAATTCCACACCGTTTCTTTCACAATGCAATCGCATGACCAGAACTCAACTTCATTTTTAAGAACTAGACAGAAACGTGCATCAAAACAAAAGGAAATCAATCAAATGTAGGAATTTATCAAATTTGTTTTTCAGCAAACACTTTTCTAGAATGTGTGATATTCCTGCAGTGGGTGCAGTGTCAATGAAATCCTGAGTGCGAGTCCACTCATATAACCCAGCATTTGTTGGATTAAGCTTGCACAGAATATATGATTGCATAGATTATGTAACTTATCCTTCTAAACTGCTACCGGTATATATTTGCATAGATTACCTGCCTTTCTAAATTGCTAAATATATATTTTTGCTCTTGAGACGGTTTCACTGAAGATATTGCTTTACTGAGCAGACTACTTTAGGCATTTTCTTGGCTTGTAGTTCACTGTCATAATGACTGAATACACCTCACTATAATACAGTTTAGATAGTAATCAATAAATCTTGTTATGATCAGTGTTTGTTTATTTAGAAATCTAATAACAGTTGAAAGAGGCGAAACTCTGGCCTAACAATAAGAAAAAATAGGAAAACATTTGACACCAGTAATTGTATATTTTCAGTACACACACTCCATAGGTACAACAAAATAACACTGACTTATCCGAGGTCTGGTGTTATCATTGAATCACTTTCATGCTACAGTAGCACTTCCACTTTACATTAGTATTGAACATGAATTAGATGTGTTTGGAGAGAATAAACACATATGTCACACTGAATGATCGTATGCATACGTGCTCAGTCAAACCTGTCTATAGCGACCACCCAAGGGAAACACAAAAAGTGGCCTTTGTAGACAGGTTCCTTTAGTACATGATTCAATGAGAAACCATTTTCAAGGGAAACAAAAAATGTGGTCTCTGTAGGCAGGTGGTCTTTGTAGACAGGTGGTCTTTGTAGAAGGGTGGTCTTTGTAGACAGGTGGTCTTTGTAGACAGGTGGTCACTAAAGCAGGTTTGACTGTATATGTATTGGCTATCTCCTTCCTCTTGAGTGGTTCCTCTCGAATATGTCTTGGTTCCCTCCCGAATCCAAGGCATGCAGCAATGGGAATGAAGGACAATCTCGATATGTGCTGTGCACAGCCATCACAGATATTGATCAGTGAAAAAAAAGTATCAAATGTCACAGGATGAAATTGTACCCAATAGGATATGTGCATACATAGACCCCATTTTACATAGAGTAATATGACAGAGGTCTGCATCTATCACTTGCTTGCCTGAGCTATTCCCGATGTACCATCTACCTCCAAAGAGTTGGAAGCTCAGGAGTGAACAAAATTATCAAATGTCACATGATGTTTTGTAACCTATAGGATATGTGCATACATAGACACCATTTTACATAGAGTTATTTGACAGAGGTGGTCGGCATCTACCTCTTGATTGCCTGAGCTATTCCTGATGTACCATCTATCACCAAAGAGTTGGAGTCTCAGGAGGCCGTCTGCTTTACGGCATCATGTGGAAGATTTCTGACGTACAGGAGGCAGTCAAGGGTCAAAAATTTGATTAGAACGGATCTGCGGAACAGATGCAATTACTCAAGAATTTGTTTTCTTTCTTCTGATCAACAACCTAACGTACTGTAGGATGTTATCTGTTGTGTTTCAACATACAACTCACTATCATACTAGTAGAATTTTGAATCTGTAACATACTGCGCTACACATCTTTTCATATTTTAGCACACAGAAATGACAAAACTGTACAATCCATCTCCCTTTGTGATGAACATACACCAATGTCTAAAAGTGTAACACTTTTCTTAAAATATTAATATCTAATTTCTTTGACATTATATTTAATATCTTATTTTTTAAATATATTTTGATATTTCAATATTTCAATATTACAACTGAACCAAACCGTATGTAATCCTAAGCAACATACCAAAGGGTATCTGAAAATTTATCAATTTAGCAAAACTTTATGAATCTGAGTTACCGGTAAACGTTTAATACAAGGTTGGAGTTTGGATTTCAGTTTTGTAATAGATTAAGTGCAAAGATATTATAGCAGGAACACATGTTGTACAATCACTTTTACAAATCTCTAAATATTTTAATATTACAACTGACTGTATGTGATCTAAAGCAAGATATTATGTCCATACTGTTTAAATTCACAACATATCATAGGGCTATCTAAAAATTTATCAATTCTGCAAAAATTTAATTAACTTGGGAAGGAGTTTGGAATTTAGTTATTGTAAGAAATGAAGTGCAAAGAAATTGTAGCAGGAACACATATCCGTACAATCAATTTTATAAATGTCGGAACTTTTGTCAAGGATATAAGTTGATTTTGTTGCAAGAAACTGATGAGTTTCTGGACGGGGTCAAACTGTGAGAGGCACTTGAGGCTACCGATCAGAAGCAGCTTGTGTTTGGCCCTCGTCATGGCAACGTTTAGACGACGGAGATCATTCAGAATAGATCCACCCTGCAGCATCAAGGAAGAGAAGGAACAGAAACTTTTTAAACTAGATAGAACTTCGACTGCACGCAGTCGATAATGATGCCTCCGTCATAGAGCAAGTTTACAAACCAAAACAGAAGAAATTCAAAAATTCAAGTTTCATTGTAATCCATTAACAGGTTCTCAGAATATCGTGATTACAAGCGATTTCTCATATACATATATGACCCTTTGATCTTTGACCTCATGACCCTAAAATCTACTCAGTTCATTGGCTCTGCAAGATGTCCTGAGTTAAATAGTAATCCATCTGTCAGTTCTAATGAGAATGCGTTCACAAGCTATTTTTGCATACATAATGAGCCCATGACATTTGACCTTTGACCTCATGACCCAAGAATCTACTCAGTTCATTGACTCTGCAAGATACATATATGATCTAAGTTTGGCAGGAATCCACAATCTGTTCTAATGAAAATGCGATCACAAGCTATTTTGCAGACATAATGAGCCGCATGACCTTTGACCTTGACCTCATTACCCCAAAATCTAATCAGTTCATCAGCTCTGCAAGTAACATACATGACCTAAGTTTGGCAGGAATCCATCAATCGGCTCTTGAGATAACGCGATCACGAGCTGTTTTTGCATATATAATGAGCCCTGTGACCTTTGACCTTTGACCTCGTGAGCCCAAAATCTAATCAGTTCATCGGCTCTGCAAGATACATACATGATCAAAGTTTGGCAGGAATCCATCAATCAGTTCTTCAGATAACGCGATCACGAGAACGGGACGTACGTACGGACGGACGGACGGACAATCCGAAAACATAATGCCTCCGGCTACTTCGTAACGGAGGCATAAAAAGTGCCAATCAGATCTATACTTGAATTAAAGTAAACCTCACCCCAAGAAATAACTTTACTTATTCTGAGAGATTTATTATATTCTTGCCCATTAATCTACAAGACTCCCCACCAAAGTGTAAAGCAAGAATAATGTACATTACGGCAGCACAACATGGGCATCGCCATTTTCTTGATAACATGACATACTATGTGAAGTCATTTACCAAGTAAATGTATTCAAATTTATGGACGATTCCTTCCCAGGTGTGTGTGGTGATGAAGCACTTCATTCACCAGCTAAAATATTTTGTACTACAATTGCCAGAATGCAAATTGCATAAATAAGTTGGTGCTTTTCTGAGGTACAGGTATCTTATATAAAATGAAATAGATTTGTCAACTGCTATATTTTAGTATTTTAAATGAATTAGTTACCATTGTTCCCCTGTTACATATTTTTCACAATAATATAAGTTCTACCTTCTCAGCTATCTTTGTTTATATACACTGTATCTCTTGTACAGTTTCGTAAGAAATATTGTACATCATAGGGCAGGAAAACATGTTATTTTTCAGAATACCTACACTCATGCTTTGGTGTGAGTTTCCTTTATCAAAGGGGGTGTAGCATGACGAGCCTACGTGTCTTTCTCGTAGCCCGACTTGGGGCCAATCGGTTAAAATAATAATGTATAAAACATACACGAAACTGAAGCGCGAGGAGAACTTCGGTCTGTTTCGCGAACGCTAACGCACGTTGACCTTTTATCAAGTCCATTCGTTTACATGCAGTTGTCCAAAAGAAGACGTAGATGGCGTTAACCAGTATTCGCCATGCTACACCCCCTTTAAAGCATAAAGTTATTACCGGTAGTCAGCAGAATAGTTTGAAAGAAATATGTGTTCCATTTGATAAGGAATTTTCCCAGATTTTTTTCTCCTAATGTAATATTTGAGTGCTACACAACTCATTAAAATAAAGCATTTTTAGATCTGTTGTTCTGGAATTGTTGTTCTGAAGTTATTCTGAATTGTTTATCAGATGAGCAACCTGAAAACAAGTGGATCAAATCTTGCCGAAAATCATAAGACACAGGAAATTTCCAACAATATGCACAACGGGACCTCATACTGAATTGGTGACAAAACATTTACTTTATTTCTTCAAAGATAGAAGGTTAGGGTGAGGGTTGCAGTCAGGCTTTTAGTTAGGTTTGATATTACGGTTAGGTATAGTGTTAGGGTCAGGTATAGTATTAGTACTGATCACAGTATCTCCATGATGGTTATCAAAATTTCCAGAGAAATTGACATTGTCACAAAAATAACAACCAAGTTATACCTGTGAATCGGTCTGGCTGTGAGAGAAAGACATTACAATGACATCCTTGTCACGACCTTGATACTTGTCCACTGTGTTGACCTCCAGTGACTTGACCTTTGAACCTAAGTCAGCAAGAGTGGAGGTGAGTAGTTGACACTGTCTGCGGTACGGTGAGATGACCCCAATCTGAGCAGCAGTGCAACCAGCCTGAATTAAGATAAAGCAGTATGAAAAATTAATTCAGCTTTCATGAAAGATAATGTGCACTCAATGCCACAAGTGATCATAAAACAAAGTACAGCATAAAATGATGGTCTTTTGGATATAAACAAAACCTTTATAACTTTTTTAATGTCAATAATTCTCTAGTTATTATGAGAAATTTCAAGTCATATCAAGCTGCAGGAAGACAGTAACTTCTCTCTTACCACTTGTAGCCTAGACTTTATGATTTTCCCATTGATCTGATCATAATTCTTATCTCATAAGTCCTTAACAGCTTTTCAACAGCAGCTCCTGATATGCTATAATAGCAATGGAATAACAGATGAAATGATCTTCATGTAATCTTGATATAATTCTTGAGTTATCTTACCAACAGAAGGTAAGACCAGGGGGTGTTTCACAAAGACTAAGATCGACTTTAAGTTGGACTTAACTATGGCAGGCAGTTCATGCCACTGTTTGCTCTAACCATTTACTGGCATTGGTCTCTGAAGAGAGGTATAAATCGTGGTCACAAATCTACAGAATTTACATTTTTTTGTAGTCCATTATTGAAGGAAAAAATATCATCTAAAGATCATAATTGAGAGACCATTGGTGAGAGCAACCAGTGGCAACAATGGCCTGTCATAGTTAAGTCCAATTTAAAGTCGATCTTAGTCTTTGTGAAACATCCCCCAGATATTCTACAGTCTCAAGGTACAAAGATATCGTGTTGACATACTTGCATGAGGCTCTCTACGATTCTCCTGACCAGGATTGCTTCGAGTCTGTTGGTGTTGCTTGGAGAGGCTGCATCGGTTGGACTCCAGGCTTGATCGGTGTTGAGGAAAGACACTACTGTTGAAGGATTCACTGCATCTTCCAACCAAGCGTCTGCACAGGATTCCTAGAAAAAGAAAAAAAGATGAGGGAAAGAGTGACAACTGCAACTATCAATATTGGAATTCAGAAGAGACAACAATATCTTTGGATTCAATGAGTTCATCAACCAGGAGATTGCTTGGGATTCCAAGAGAGGGGATGTAAGGAAAAATGAGAAAACTATCAAGATCATTGATGAGAAAGGACACCACTGTCAAAGGGTTCATTGCATCTTCCAACCAGGAGTTTGCTTGGGATTCCTGGACAGCAGATGAAGGGAAAAGATAAAAAAGTTGAACTATCAAAGAGTGGGTAATGCAGGATAACGGAATACATTTATATGAATATTACAGTAGCAAAGAATATTGGTACCAAATTATAATCTTAAAGAGATGGCATGGACACACATGGACACAAAAGCGTACTGTTTATAGATTAGTATACAACATGACAAAGGACACCAGTGTACTGGTATACATGTGTATTAGATTAAATGTAAAGCTGCTTGTCTGGAATTCTATCAGAATTTTAAAGCCATGTATCAGTCATTAAAAACTAAGTGAGTCTGAGATCACCATTAAAATTGCTTTAACAGATTGTTTCTGGTGGGTGAATATCCTATTACTGCAAGTAAAGGTAATTGTCTTTCGACTCTCTTAGCTGTGGATATCAATTGTGTATTTAAATCGAGATTTAGATCTTACCTTACACCATGCATCCCAGTTTGGCAAAGAGATGGTTGCCTTGGCAACTTCATCATTGCCACATCTCATGGCTCCATCATACACCATGTGATTGGAAATAGACATGATCTCACTGTGCATCCTGAATTGAAGACTTAGGCTTGTAACACTTGAGGTGTGAGCAGACACCAGTCTCTGGAAGAGGCTTTCATCCATACCCAGATCCCTATGTTAACAGAGAAGGAAAGATGAAACAAGAATTGAAAAATTTCACATTTTGGATATGATTTTACAAAGTAGTAATTAGATCATATCATCAATTTTAGTTCTTAATTATAGAACATATAATATCGAGCTTGCTCAATGTTCTGAGACTCTTTCTAAGAAGCAATGGCATGCAATCTGACAAATAAATTAAAATAAATACGCAAAACTCCATCATCTGGAGCTTAATCCAGGTCAAGGCTTAGGAGCAAAATTTACCAATGGAAAAAAGAAATGTAAGTACTTGACTCACATAATGTCTACCATGATGGGCCCACTTGTAATAAATAGGGATGGCATACTATGGATTAAACAAGCAGATACATGGACCATTACCTGGCTCTGGAGCTCTGGACTAGAGGTGGAAGCTGGCACTGGTCTCCGACCAGAACAAACTTAGAAGCAGAGAAGAGTGGTCCTAGACAGACCGGCTGACTGATTTGAGAAGCCTCGTCTACAATGCAGACATCAAAGCTGTGCCGGGTTAAGAGAGCATGCTTCATCCCCAGGCTGGTGGTGGCAACCACTTTCTGTGAGAAGCAGTGAAAATATACACGAGAGTGATTAGTAACGCATTTAAGCTCTCTCTGGTAACTTCAAAAGAGCTCTAGTAAAAAAAAAAAAAGGGGGGGGGGTATTAATTAATTGTAATATGTAATATGAAAAAAAATGTAATATCTTTGTTTACCTTTCTGTTGGAAATGAAATAAATATGAATATGAATAATATGAATTAGAATTTAGTGAAGGGACAGGAGAAGGAGAGGGAGAGACATAGACAGGGAAACGGGGAGGGGAGTGGTGAATAGGGAAGAGTGTAGGGCGGGAAGGGGAGGGCGAGGGGAGGGGAGAGGAGAAAGTGGGAGAGGAGATGGGGAGTGGAGGGGAGTAGAGGGGAGGGGGACAGGGTTTACTTAAACTATGCATGGGTTTTTAATTCCTAATTGCAAGAGCAATCAGTTCTGATTCCATTATTTCATACCTTTCTCTCCATCTGCATTGCTAGCTGTGATACACCTGATGCTTCCTTCATCAGCTTGCTATCAGAGAACTCTCTTAATTCGGGATGGATGTTGTGCTGGGCCCCAAGACGTAGAATGTCAATTTTGTACTGGGAAGAGAAAAAAAAAGAGTCACACAAATAAGATTTTTAAATGCTTTCTTTTCAAACAAAAAGACCCAAACATTTATAAAGGTTTATTTAAGGCCACGGTCTCAACCGACCTCTACAGTGAAATAAGTGTATATTGCCTGTTCGTCAATGAGGCTACACATGTATGATCCATACATAATAAAGTAAAACGTCCTTGGTGAAAGGCGGCCTTTGAGTTGGGGGTCAGTACTCGGTCGTGCCTATTCTTCAAATATCTTTTTGGTAAGAATTAAGCTCACATGTGAATGATTCATTTTAAAAGATGCTTCCCCTTTGATACTATTAATTTTGAAACATCACTATATATGTATGAGCATCAAGCATGTCCAGAAAAGCTTATGATATGATCCTAGATGCTCAAAATGCAATTCCATTAATACCAGAATGCAAACACAGACTACATTCACATACATGACAAAATGCAAATAAAGAGCAAAGACTGTTTAATACCTTGAGGAGTTTGAGTAAGATATTATCCACTGCTGAGTGAGTGTAGCTGGTTAGAAGAACAGACATGCCACAAGCTACGAGGATCCTCACCAGGGCGACGATGGTCGTTGTTTTACCTGGATGGACACAAACAAATTAGACAACATGAATATGACTGCTTCTCCAATATGGCTCCACCTATATTCAATCAATACTTACGATTGTTTGATTGATTTATGTTTATTGATTATATGAGTTTACACGTTGGATTGGACAAGTTGGTTATGAAGCACAGAAGAACTGTTGTATACTCTGAGGTTTTGGAATCATCAAAATGACAAGGAATTGCCTCAGTCTTGTTGAAAGTCATATGCACCGTACACAAAAATGTGTGCATGGGACAACACAAACATATGGCATTAAAGTTTGGTCCAAACACTTTGGCTCTTCCTTGTCATATTTTAAATATGAGGGCTTTCGGAGAGCAATTCTTTTCAAGAGTTATTTCATCTATGATATTCTTCTACACTAACCTAAAAAGAATGGAATAGCTCACAAAATATTGTTCACCTTTCCCAGAACTCTCTTCTTTTTAAAGGGATTGGGTATCTTTGTCTCAGATTCTGTAACAAAATCCTGGATATAGCTCATGCAGCAATCATAATTATAAACCTTTAGGTCAGCCTATGACTTTTACAAGCCGATCGCCTGTCTGATTATCAAGATATTTTGATTGGAAATATAAATCAAATTTTGAGTTTTCCTAATGGTTTTAATAACACCTAGAGTCTATTGGGCGAGTATGGTAAAACCAGTCACTCAAAGATTTTTACTTTTTTGAGGCACTTTAAGATCATTTTGAAGCGCAATTTTTTTAGGGCTTCAATATTACACAACATCATAGACATTGAAAAACATGTTGGGCCGTGCATCTCAGATTTAACATTGTTAAACGATCGATGCCTTTAATGAACATTGACTCTCGATCATTTCTATTCCTCTTACCTGTACCAGGCATGCCGATGATGACTGTGTAGTCCTGGCTTCGAAGCACAGCCTTGATTGCAGCACGTTGGTCCTCGTTCAAGTCCCTCATGATCGTTGCTACCTGACCTCTGGCACGGGCCGGCAAGTTGGGTTTCTGGACGGAGGTCGTGGCCCGTTTATCAATCACGATATTACGTAACCTGAAAATAGTTCGCCAAAAATGTACAGAAGATGATAAGATTCAATGAAATGATTCACAAGTGTGAATGTTTTGATCCCAGAATCTTGTGGCTAGAGAGAGCTAATGTCCTCAAAACCCTTACAAAATTTGCAACATAATACTTTCACACGTCTAATGACGGCCATATTCATTTCAATAAATTTTTGTTAATTTCCAAAATTTTGTATCGTAAATGTGATCAAATCATTCAATCAAACAAATTTCATCAACTTAGAAAGTTTGAGAAAGTTTCATGTAAGCAAAAGTTTATTGTTTAATAAAATAGCAGTTTCTATTTTTGTTTTTTGACAAATTTGTATAACACTTTTATTAAATCCAACATGTTTTGTAGTTTGATTAGTTTTATGTAAAGTTGATTCATACATACTTGTTATGTTCTGGTTTCATGAGCTTGGTGAGATTGACTAGACTAGCTGCCATGCTGTTGTAGCTATCATCCTTGTCGATACGATACACAGGGTTTCCTCCACCATCTTTCTTCGGTTGGCTGGTGTAAAAAAATTAAGGAGAGAAAATGATAAACATACAAGCTACAAGATTTTATTCTGGATTCTTCATTTGGCCACGCCATCAATGTTTAATATACCTTTGATAGTAATACCCTCGTATCATTAAATGACTGGTACCTACACGTATCCACACCCTATTCCATCCACTCTTACTGTATATGGAAAGACCAATTCCAATCTCTGTATGCAAAGGCTCAACAACGAATGTACTTCCTGCAAAAACTGAATTTGTTTCATGTTGACGATGTAAAACAATTTAAATCTGTGTTTCCATATGAATATGTCATTGTACATTTGCTACTGTGTATGATCTATTTGTTTATATTATTTTCTATCGAATATTGTTCATGTGCTTTTTGTAATGCCAATATCTGAATTTCCAAATGGACCAATAAAGTTAATCTGAATCTGAATCTGAACTTGCCAAACAACCTACTTTTCTAATTCCTTCTTCACTCTAATACCACTCTATTAATCACTCCATTCCCCTCTCCTCTTCCCTTCATCTATCTATCACTCCATCCGCCTGATATTAAATACACCTGTATGTGCTGATCTTGATATCTGCTTTATTGACTGTTTTTATTGACTCCAGTCTTCCCTTCTTCACTCGATAACCATCTTATCCATCAATCATTCCACCCTGTTCTCCCTCTGTTTATCTATCTATCAATCCATTAACTTACCTCTCTGACCTGATCTTAATATCTGTTTTAATAATTGTTTCAATTCCATGAATCCTACACAGCCAAAAACGACTCTCCTACTTCCTTCTTCACTCTATCACTTGTATACCAATCACTCCATCTTCCTCTCCTTCACCTATCTATCAATCCATCTGTCAACCCACCTGTCTGAGCTGATCTGATGGTTTCAATGAACCCAACACAGATAGCGACTCTCCTACTTCCTTCTTCACTCTATCATGTCTATACCAATCACTCCATCTCTCTCTCTCCTTCACCCTTCTATCAATCCATCTGCCAACCTACCTGTCTGAGCTGATCTTGATATCTGTTTTACTGATCGTGTCAATGAACCCAACACAGATAGCGACTCTCCTACTTCCTTCTTCACTGATAACCACTCTATCTCCTCCCTTCATGAAGCATTTATCTAGGCTGGCCTCTGAAAATCTGGAAAAGAACACAGAATGAGTATTGCATAAAAATGTAAAATGCTATACAAATGTTTACTATCAACGTACTCCCCAAAAACCTGTCTACAACAGATTACATGTGGTCACTAAAATAAACTCACATTGATGTATATTTGACCGAGATCTAATAAATAGTCAATTGTCTAGATTTAGTCAAGAAAATATTTTGTCCGTTTGGAGCCAGAAGGGCGTTAACTCTGTACTTCAACATAGAGTTAACACCCTTCTGGCTTGGAACAGACCATTTACTGAGAAATCTTCTGCAGATGATGTAGTCCTTCAGATAGGATGTTGCATAGTCTCAGATCCCCTGGCTGCATCCATACTAAGCCTATACATGTACTTGTTCTCTTATCCCCCTGGTGAAAGATATACAAATTAATCAATCAAATGATATAAATGTCATACATGTTCAGTACATGTATTGACTTCTTAAAACTCATCCTTATGACAAAAGCGAACAAAACGTTACCCTACTAAAACCATGTATCAAGTGATCTAATCGGGTCCTTATCATGAATATACACTTAATCTTACCCTTTTTTTCCTTGTTTTCTTCTGAAGATCAGTGTAAATCCTCCACTCTGTTGGTCTTTTGGTGTAGCACTCATGAACTCCATATGACTCCAGCACTCTCCATCCTTCTCTCTGCAACAGCAAAGACATTTGAAAATTACTACTCATATATATTTTCAATCTTGGCCACCTTCTGGAATACAAATTAAATTCTGAACACCTCTTTTTCTCAGAATAGAAAATCAGTTAATGCCAGATCTAACAAGATAGTGTGAGGGAGGGAGGAAGAGCGAGAGAGAGAGAGAGGGAGAAAGAGAGAGAGAGAGAGAGAGAGAGATAGGGAGAGAGATTTCTTTCATCTTTTTTTATTATAAAACAATTGGGATTAGCTAGTTTTTCTATACTTTAACCATCTTTTTATACGCCCCCCCCCCCTTCTTTACAGTTATAAAGCATACATTTCACAATACAAAATATGCCTCGATCATCCTCTAACTACAAAGTCTTACATGCTTTAAATCAAATGCATCATACATGTACCATAGAGAACACACAAAGCATTTACCAACCTTTCAGTAGACTCCTTGCACCAGATGTTTTTACTTTTATTCCTCTTCTTTGTGGCCTCATGTTCCAGGCAGCACAAGAGATACCAGTGAGCAAAGTACTGGAGGTGTGAGTCTGGTAGATGCTCAATGCTTTCAGTGAAGAGCTCTTGTACAGATGAAGCTAGCTGGGTAGAGGAGCCTTCCAATCTGAATGACAGAGAGGAGGGGAGGGGGGGGGTATGTATTGAGAAACAACTTTACATTCAATGGAATTCAAGTTTGCTTGTAACCTTAAATTCACAATTTCTATAAAAATATATATATATATATATATATATGTATCTTGTTATCTATAAGTCACCGGACACAGATTGTTTTTCAAAACAGAGCAAGTATGGTTCCCGCTCTCGAGTAAAGCTGGAAGTCTCAAATTTTCATAATAATAATAATAGTGTAAACTTATAGAGCCCACACACCGTCCAGGGACGCTCATTGCGCTACCTCAGCATCAGTTCTCTTTTATACGGTAAAGTAAATGTTTATTTGATAATAGAGTTATATCATCACAAATTAAAAAACAATTTTGCATCATTTGTATCACCCATTTCAATCCTCAGCTCTGCCCGGATCACTTTTCTTACAATGACTTCCTTCAGTTTTGCAAATTATTCACTATTCTGATACAATATCAGTGTTTTCTTCCATGAACAAAGAAATGCATGAGGCAAAAAATTGGCATGCCATACTTGTGTAGGCTGCTACAGGCTTGCAGATGGGCACATCGTTTACAGCTGAAATCATCTCGGATGGGTTCCGGGAGAATGGGTGGGATGAGAGAGGGTTTGGTCTGAGAGGGCCAGTCAGCCGAGGAGGGGGCGGTGGGTGTGGTTGTCGACCTGGCGGTCCGGGAGAGGTAGTAAGCCAGCTGGTTCCGCAGGTGAATGAGTTCTGTGGATACAAGAAAGGTAGATTTGGCATGGATACTAACACAAGATAATTGGAAAGATAGTCAAAGCCCTCTGGTGAGATGATTAGAGCTGTGGTCCTACAGTGTTCATGCACAGTTGTGGGTGTATTATTATGTAAAATACAATAAAATTACAGCAGCAAAACAGGGGAAAAACATTCCCAAAACCAACCAGGGAGACTGAAGAGAAAGATCCTGCAAACTTGTTCATTTTATGAATAAAAAAAGTGGCACTTGCATTTTTTCTTATTTACATGAGAAAATAGTTTTTAAATTGTTAGTGTTATTCTGAATCTGGGAAGTCAAATCACTTGTCCTCAGACCCCAATCGGTGTTGAGCCATACAATATGCATTATCAAGCTAGGCAAAACTTGATGAAAATTAATACTCAACAATTCAGAAATCCATTAATTTCTGGAATTTTACATCTTTCTTTGTTGACAGATTTATTCAATTACGTATCGGTGTTTTATGTAAGCAGAATGGACTATTAAATTTTCACCTCTTTTATCAATATGTCTGGCAGAAAATATGGGATCCCTTTTTTAAAGGAAATATTGAGCCCCTACACTATTGTTGGCAAGTACATTTAACTGCATATCAAAGAGGTATGTAGGCAGAATGGACCAATTTTCACCTTTTCTATCAAGTTGGTTAGCAGAAGGATTCTTCTTTTTTTTTTGAAGGAAATATTGCACCCTTATAATGCAGTAATACAATATTTTGTTACCAAGAACTCATAACTGGAAATTAATGTGTAATGTAAAAAATGATTCTGACCTCTCTTATCAAGGTGGTTGGCAGGAACAGCTTTCATGGCTGATGTCTTGATGTATAGAAGGAAGCCCAGGTCAGAGGTTGGCTGGAGGTCACCCAACATTAGACTGTACAGGATCAACTGCAGATGAAAGATGTGCAAATACAAGTGATAATAAGAACAATTTTACAACATGCCACATATAATATATTCTCCTAAGGATATTTAAGTGGTGCACTCCTCATCCTAATTAATTAGGAAAAAACTTCTAGAGTTAAACTTCAGTATATTATTACACAATTAACTCTAGATGCTGATAATTTGATTGTTGGACTCTATTATGTAACCCCTAAATCATCATCAACACCATCATCAAAATCATTGATTCATTCCTTGCTTGGAAGGAACCAGGATTGTAGAGAAACAATGCAAAATAACTTATTATTATCATTACCATCACCATCACTATTATTATCATCACTATTATCATCATCATCGCCTTCATCATCATCATCATGGTCACTATTACCCCATCATCACCATCACCATCATCATCATCATCATTATCTTCACCATCATCATCATCAGCATCATCACTATCATCATCATCATCACCATCACCACTATCACCCCCACCATCACCATTACCATCATCACTATCATCACTATCATCATCATCATCATCATCATCATCATCATCCTCATCATCACCACCACCATCACCACCACCACCATCTTCATCATCATCATCACTATCATCACTATCATCATCATCACCATCATCATCATCATCATCCTCATCATCACCATCACCATCACCACCACCATCACCACCACCATCACCACCACCATCACCACCACCACCACCATCTTCATCATCATCATCACTATCATCACTATCATCACTATCACCATCATCATCATCATCCTCACGACTATTATTACCTGGCTTCGATGCTCAATGGAGTTGGTCTCCTTCCCTGTCTTCAGCTCTAGCGGCATATTAGCATGCTGACCAGGCTGAGAGCGGGATGGTCTGTGGATCTGATTATTAAAGATGAAACAAAAAATACATGAATATAACACATATGGTGTTAAATAGGGCAAGGTTATCATATCAAATTATTTCAAACAGTAAAGTTATGGACTGATCATGAAGATGAAACAAACAATACAAATATATTAACACATATGGTGTTTAATAGGGCAAGGTTATCACATCAAATGATTTCAAACAGTAAAGTTATGGACCAAATTTGTGTCAAACCTTTAAAAGATATCAGAATGGTCTTATTACAGAAATGGCACATTTGTGGCCACCATAGAGAGTAGAAAGCCTTCTTTTCTCCAGGAGGAAGTTCAGACTGCCTATATAAGAAACTCACACTCAACTCTAATTTAACTCAAACTCATATGTAATTTACTACATGTATCTATGTGCTCCCTTCATTTTTTTATTAGATGGCTGCTACCCTGTTCATACTTAGACATCTCTTTTTTTCTGTGGCTTTGGGGCCATGACCTTTCCTTGACACTGTAGAATGTAGTAAGTCTTCTTTTTCTCTAATAGGAAGTTCTGACAACCTGTATGGAAGTACATATGTGTGTTTCCTTTATTCTATAAGATGACTACTACCATATGCTCACACAATAACTTCTGTTGTATTTTCTTGGTGATTAGGGGTCATGACCTTACCTTGACCTCAACTGTGAGGTCAACCTTGCCCTTCACACCCCATCTTGGCGACCAGATAGACTCCTCAATGTCGGTCACCTTGCTAACACTCACGCCACAGTTCTCAGGCTTGAAGGAGCCAGGCCTGTGGGGGGGACATGAAGAAAGAAATTTAATCACATAAATGATTTGGAAAAGAATAGACAAGAATGAGTTATCACGGATGAATCTGGTTCTATTAGATAATAAGGGTACAGTATGAACTTTACTCTACTCTACTATACCCTAGCCCTTGAAACCATCCATTTTTCAAAACACTTTAATTGAAGAATCAAAAATCTTCCAATTATACAGCCAATAAATAATGGTTCTTTTTTCGTACTTCTTTTAGGAATCATCTCCAACATACATGTATTTGAAAAATACAGGTTCAGACAACAGAGCAATACCAGAAATCTGCCAACCATGTTTTTTTAGCATGATTAGACTACACAAAGTCAAATACATGCTTAGACCAAGTAACAATTTTGTTAAACACTACAGAAAAATAAATGAATGCCCTATGTAGGAAAGTCATACCATTTGATGTCAACACTGCCTCTAGGGTTTGATCCTAGATAGGTATCACTCCATCTCTTGATAGTATCTGCATACTCCCCTACCTCCTCCAGGAGATTATCCTCATCCACCTTCAACGAGTACCTGTCATTCAAATCAAATCAAATCAAATTAAATTATTCTATAAGATGATGATGAAATGACTGGTGGAGAGTGTACACGTGAGCAGGTAAATATTTTGCTTACTAATAGTAAATATTAATGACCGGTCATTAATAAATATTAATGACCTGTCACTAGTAAAATCATGTTATGAAACATCATTTCATAAAACATACTCTTATAAAACAAATAATACACATCATGTTGTTCGGGCATTAGTCAAATTACTCACACTCGGTACTTTCAAAACAGTCCAAACACCCTCGGCTATCGACTTGGGCATGTTAGACTGTTCCACAGGTACCTTGTGTGGGTAATTCTTACTAATGCCCTCACTGCTGTGTATTATTTGTATATTAATTCATCAATCCGATCATTTCAAATCAATCTTAAAAGTGTCTGCATACTCCTCTACCTCGTCCATTAGGTTGCCTTCATCCACCTTCATTTAAATCAATGTATTCAATTGAGATCAGTTCAAATTAAATCATAATACATCACATCTGAACATATGCCAATATATCAATAATCTAATACAAATAATCCTAATCAAATCACATTAAAATAATATGAACCTACATGTAGGTAATACTCTGTAGGTTCCCATGGTGACCGAGTATTCATAATTGTAGGTTTTTGGTAACACCATGTGCCTTACTGAAAAGAGTGTTGATATATTCTTTCGCCAAAAGATCCCACTTAAGGGGCATTGACAGGTATTACGGAAAAGGAAATGAATTGAAAGAGAACGGAAAGGAAAGAGAAAGAAAAGGAAAGAGAAAGAAAAGGAAAGAGGCGATAATGGAATGAAATTCTTGAAATTAAATATGCTTTGTATCCAAAGGTACTCACATGTCACAGAGGAAAGCTGGCTGCTTAAGTATATCACTGGCAATCCGCATCAGTTGAGCTTTCTGAAACTCTTTCTTTAAAATGGCCTACAAACAGAAATGAATCATCAAATTTGAAATTACTGAAGAAATGTTTTTTTTTAAACATCATGGATTATTGAAATCCTATTTGATTCGTGAATAGAATGTGCATTATGTCTATGGGCACTTTGAAGTACATGTGTATGTCTTTCTATAGCACATACATATATATGCTTAAGTGTGCCACTGACTGTTTAAACAGACATGCCAGTATCAACCTTACTGGAGAAGCACACATGCGTCTTAAAATGCGTTTATAGAAATAAGATGCAATGCTGTTTAACTTTGTAATCATCTTCATCATCATCATCAGCACCACCATCAATATAATTGCCATTGTCGTTATCATCACTATCATCATCATCATCATAATAATCATCATCTCTTCAATTCATAGTCATACATTTGAGACTTACCTGGTCAAAGACTTCATGAAGAAGTGAACCGAGGAGCATGGCACGATTTCCTCTCTCTAAGCCCTTTGTAAAAAGAGACAAGAAATAGAATACAAAGATATGGTGAAGAAGGAAAGCAGTAAATTTTGTCTAAATGAGGGGGATGCTAGAGACAAGAAAAAGTGGAGGCAGGGAGTGTCATCATGGCGCGAAAATCAGTAACGCCTCGTAAGAGGGAAAAAGCTTACTTTAATAAATGATGATGATGATGATGAAACCACCTCTGAAATAAAGTCAATAATTCCACTTGCAGTTGTACACAATCATCAGGAAAATGTGTTAAATTATTGGAAACACATTAAATTAAAGACATGTGCCTAGTACCTACCTTGAAATGTTCACTCAAAACAGATCTGCAAAAGAGAAGAAGAAAAATTTAGTATTAGGCATTACATTCGGGGGAGGATTCATAAACAATCTAATTTCTCAGAATTAAAGTGTACAAAAAATCCTTTCCTTGATTAAATATTATAGTATGATTGGCATTATCGTGAAAAAGCAAGAGAATGATAGAGAGAGAGAGAGAGAGAGAGAGAGAGGTGAATGGTATACAAATATTGACTGCTCATGAGGATGATGGTGGGAAATATCACTCCCAAGGTGGTGTTTACACCACCGAGGGAGTGGTAGTTCCCACCATCATCCGATTACAGAGCAGTCCATATTTGTTTTATATACCTCATCCTTTTTATTGATTCATGATTAGGTCTAGCTGTAGGTCTAGATCTAGCTCTACATGTAAAAACAGGAAACGAGATCAAGAGGAATTTACTAACCCAAATAAGAAAAATCCAACATCAAGTCCAAGGCAAGAGTATTGAATTCCTACGCGCTGTGCGTAACCGCGCGATTGCGGTAGCCTAGCAACTCAAAAAATGTGTGTGCGCAACTAAGTCGCGGGAGGGGTTAGGGGTCCTATCCCAGGGTTTGATAGTAGCTATCAACCCCTCTGACGTAATGATACTTGATAGATCGAAATGCTCCTTGACATGTGATATAGTCTTGACCAATCAGTGAATGACAATCTATGTATGAGGTATATAATATCATATTTCATACAATTTTCATGTCTTGAGAATGACTTCATGCCAAGCAGAGTGTGGGATTTTCAAAGGAGTTTGTAGTGAGATGTTGGGAAAGAATCTAGATGCTGTATAAATTAAAGTCATGAGCTCTAACACAATATATTTTCTTAGAATTCTCATCACAAGGTGATTCATGCCTTTCATTCTTTAACACCAAGAGGCACATACACCTGCTTCTTACACCAATATGACACCATGTGTTATCTAACACTAACCTTCTCATACACCTGATGCTGTTTGACACCGCAGTCCCAGTGAGTAGATGATCCGGATTGACAACAAGGTAGCCAGATTGGTTGTTAAGCTCACAGACACCATCAGCACCGAACGTCCCATGGATTGCAACTACCATGCCTTCCTCAACAAGTGTTCCTTGCCTGTAGAATAATGTACAGACAGATGTCATTAAAAATATTATTACTGCCTTAATTATTATCACTCTCTGGTTTGGGGATTGTCTTTTCTAAAGTATACACCTTTTATTTGATTTAAATTATAAGCATCTCTAACCCTGTAAAAAACAAGTCTTGGAGGCTCCTTTAGAAAGATACAAAGAGGATAGCTTTGATAAACATTGATAAATTTTGTGATTATTATCATGACATTTAAAATGATCATCACTGCTACCATTATCATATGTAAAAAGGTTTCAATTCCTATGAAATATACAAAACTTCAATCACATTCATCATCACCGTCAAGTAATCAATTTTCAAAGGTAACAGGATGAAATATCTTCCAACCGCTAACACAAATTCCTTACTCATACTTTGTCTTTCAAAATGACAAGATATTTAAGAAACACTTTATAAAATAACACATTAAAAAGAATGCAATTTATTCATTCCCATGTTTAATACTGTTTGAGGAATTTATCAAAAGCTGGAAAAAGCTGAAGGACCATGATTACATTCAATCATCTTACCAAGTGTCTTTGAGGATACAGATCTTGTCTCTTTGATCTGACATACTCCTAACACTCATCTTCTTCTCACTGTGAAAATGAAATAACAACAAGAGAGTAAAAACAACAATATGAGATGGATTGATTGTATCAAGGCAATGTTTAAAAGCCACACTACTCATCTGTAACCCCCATATGAAAAAAATGATTACAGAAAAATATAATCTAAAACCCGATAATCAACAGAAACAATTGATCTTGTATGAAGCAGGGCTCCACACTTTTTGGAAGGGGTCCAGAGTGAACTTTTTAGAGTCTGTATGATGGGCCCTACATAAAAATTCAGACTTTGGGGGATCCGGACTTAGAAGTTGGGCGCCCATGTTACCCCAACACCTGCTAGTGTCAAGCACTGATGGATTCATCGTATTCACTATTAAGTCAACACTGTCTTAAATTTGCATGGGCATAAAGGTATAATTTGCAAACATTTTGACAATCTATTACAGTACATATCTCATTTCATTATCAAAAAATATTAGAAAAGATACCCCAAAAATTACAAATAGGGCACCTCCTTGCTTCAATAAGAGGTCAAATAACCCATAATTTGGCTTAATTCAACATTTTCAAAGGGGCAGCACCCCCCCCCCCCTCCCCCTGTCATACCCCCTATGATTACTGGTATGAATGTTTTGCCATCTTACTTGTTGCTGTCCTGAACACCTGTCACTAGGTAACGGCAAAGGTCCGCATGAGGCTGGTTGAGCTTGCTGCCCGCTGCAGGTTTCTTCTTGAAAGGTGACATCTCGCCAAACTTCTTGTCAATATTGGAGATGGAAACTTCTTTCATCTGGAAATTAGAAGTAAATAGAAAAATATGTATCTTGGAGCAATATACAAATATAAAGGAATAATTATCAATGGATATTAAAAAACAATGAAACATAACTTGATTTTTGCTTTGACAAACGTACATCGGGATTCCTTGAGACAAAAGTACAAAAAGTAGACACTTTTTTAAAGGAATAATAGTAGTGCCATACAAGTACATGGATGTCAAAACCTAAACTACATTGGATATGGGCTTTTCAGGATATGAACTACGTCATCAAGTCCAATAAATAGCATATTTGCCTAGTCACACAGACAAAACACCAGAGTGAAAATAGATCAAACAAACGTTCACATTGCCTCCAATGGCCAAGAATGGATCAGTAAAGAGTCGCTTTAGAGTCGGTTTGGCCATGTGACTCGGGTGTGAGTATATGAATATTTTGAAAGCTGCAAACGCTACTTCAAAATAGTCAAAATATCAACTCCTTGCAACATGTTGACCTCAACTGAATGGATTGGAATAACAAAAAGTAAAATCAAAATGAGTTAAGTTCCTCCCCCCCCCCCCCTTCCAAAGATACATTTCTCATTAAATTTTAATAGGAAGAACCCTGGATGTTGAAATACTGGGACCCGTTTCACAAAGCTTTTTTTCAATGACAAAAAACAGTGACAAGTCTGCTGATAACCAATCAGAAGCAAGGATTTCAGTAGCTTGTAACAAAAACTGTCATTTGTCACTGATGACAAGTTTTGTGAACCCCCCCCCCCCCCCCCCCAGGACTTACCTTGCCATCTTGCATGTCATTCAGTTCATCCAGATTGATATCATCCAGAAATGAGTCGTCTAATCCTTCCAACAGAGCAGCTGTTCCTGGACTTGTCACATTGGTTTCATGATCCATGCTTTCATGTTGAGCTTTTCCTGGAGTACTGAAGTCTTTTGAAGCAGTGATTAAAGGAGTGTCTTGCACAATGTCGATTTCAATACCTTGCAGCGCTGTCTCATCCATTGCTTGGTCATCTGGACTCTCTTCAAGCTTGGACCCGCTACTTTCCTTGGATTTCCTCGACCTCAAGGCCATTGTATCTCTAGTATCTCTAGAATCACCCTTAATGGGTTTATGCAGGGATTCCCCTGATTTGTCCTTCTCATTTTCTCCTCCAAATGCTCTTCTCTCCTGTAGAATACTTTGATGCCCTGAAGTTAAAGAAATCTCATTTTCGTTTGCAGTGTTTGTTTTAGATTGCACTTTGTGTTCAAATTCCTGAGAAGCTGACATTTCCTTACTTGATGTTCCTAAACTTAATATCCGATGGACAGGAGAACTTGGATCCTGAGGGGTTTTCTTTTCTGGTGTGTCCTCTACAAGAGGGCAGGTATCTGGAATGAGGAGAATGTCCTGTTGTCTTGCACTTGGTGTTGGGCAGGAATCTGGTATGACGGAGACAAACTCCTCTAGCTCTGCCCCTTCTCTGTTTACCATGGATTCTTTGAAGTGAACTGTTTCTTTTTCTGGAGAAGAGACCTTCTCCAACAGTGGAAGACTACCTGAAGATCCTTCCGCAATGGAGCTTGCATGTTCCGATTGCATCGCATCGTTACTGTTACTAAACAGCGACTGATCCGAACTTGTCAAGTGGTCAGCTGAATCTCCATTACAGTTTGACTCAACATCTCCAGATGACATCAATATGATGCCTGTATCTTTTGAATTATGTTTCAGAGCATCTGTCACACTGGCTGCATGATCAGTTTCCTCAGGACAGGCTGGCATTTCTTTGATTGAACCACTGTCACTGCCATACTCGTGGAGGAGAGATTTCCTAACCCTCTCTATTCCATCATTACCATTACTAGGCTCTGTTTCATCCGGGATATCTTCGGAATCCTGGAATCGCTTGGAGTAGGGGGAGTTTCCTCTGCTTGGTGATCGCTTGACAGCTCTGATGCTCGTCTCCAACAAGTCCTTCTGGACTTTCTTGGATAAACTCAACCTTGAGGCATTCTTCTTAGAGGAGTTCCTTACCCTACACACAGCTGGTTTGATCTCAATCCTGCTATCTTGACACTCCTGTAGAAGTTTTGCACTTTGTCCTTCCATCTCTGCCACCTTGGAACCCTCATTTTCAAACAAACTTGCGGGTTTCTGTGCAACCTCCTTGTTCAATTTTACTAACTTGTTGCCCTTTCTTGACAGCCTGCTCAGTTTTTTGGTCTGTTTTGGTTGACCATCTTTTGGGTTACTAGCAATCACATTCTCTACTCCGAAAGAATTTGATTTCTTTTCAACTTTTGAGCAATCTTTATCAACCTTCTCATCTTTGTTGACCACTGAGCCTTTTAAAGTCACCTTCATCTTTGGTACTTCTGAATTAGTAGCACGTAGTAAAGGTACAAGAACTCTCCCGACGTCTTTTCCAAATTTTACTTTGTTTGACGAATCCTTCTTGCCGCCATCATCTTGCTTGAAGGTACCACTTGAGACATCCCTGCTGTGGTTCAGGAGACTGGTAAAAGGCCTCTTCTTGGGTAATACATTCTCTGGTGTGTCTGGAATGATTGCCTGTGAGAATGGAGAATCGGTCGTATCTGGATTGTTGACCTTGGGTGGCGAATGGAAACGATCCACGGGACTTGGCTGCATAGAGTCTGGGGTAGCTGGTATTACTGTTGAGATTGCAAGTAATGAAATGAAAATTCAATTTAAAAAAAAATAATGACACAAAAGTAAGAATGAAAATGGGGTTGTACTTGTAAGTTGTAATGATATTGCACCAAGGACCATTTATGTTAATATTATTCAGGGGTTTTTTTTGGTCATACTTTATTGATCCTCATCATTTGTAACATTTCAAAAGAAACGTAACATTACAGAGTTCATAACAATAATCATAATAATGAAATTTTAAAAAAGCTACCCAGTATGTAAAAAAAAAATCTAAGATATGGTAAACAAAAGGAATTGGGAAGATAACAAAAATTCAACTGAAAATTAATTTGTGAATACTGAATAATGATACTGAAATTCAAGGTTGTGCTAAAATCCACTTTGCCATCAAAATCTGATATGGTGTGTGGTGTGTGTAATGTAGTGTGGTGTAATGTAATGTGGTGTGGTGTAATGTAGTGTGGTGTAATGTAGTGTGGTGTAATGTAGTGTGGTGTAATGTAGTGTGGTGTAATGTAGTGTGGTGTAATGTAGTGTGGTGTAATGTAGTGTGGTGTAATGTAGTATGGTGTAATGTAGTGTGTTGTAATGTAGTGTGGTGTAATGCAATGTGGTGTAATCTGGTGTGGTGTAATGTAGTGTGGTGCAATGTGGTGTGATGTATTGTGGTGTAATGTAGTCTGGTGTAATCTGGTGTGGTGTAATCTGGTGTGGTGTAATGTAGTGTGGTGTAATGTAGTGTGGTGTAGTGTGGTGTGATGTATTGTGGTGTGATGTATTGTGGTGTAATGTAGTCTGGTGTAATCTGGTGTAGTGTAATATAGTGTGATGTGATGTAGTATGGTGTAATGTAGTGTAGTGTGTTGTAATGTAGTGTAGTGTGTTGTAATGTAGTGTGGTGTAATGTAATGTGGTGTAATGTAACATGGTGTAATCTGGTGTGGTGTAATGTAATGTGTATAACAATAATCATAATAATGAAATTTTAAAAAAGCTACCCGGTATGTAAAAAAAAAAATCCAAGATATGTTAAACAAAAGGAATTGGGAAGATAACAAAAATTCAACTGAAAATTAATTTGTGAATACTGAATAATGATACTGAAATTCAAGGTTGTGCTAAAAATCCACTTTGCCATCAAAATCTGATATGGTGTGTGGTGTGTGTAATGTAGTGTGGTGTAATGTAATGTGGTGCAATGTGGTGTGATGTATTGTGGTGTAATGTAGTCTGGTGTAATCTGGTCTGGTGTAATCTGGTGTGGTGTAATGTAGTGTGGTGTAATGTAATGTGGTGCAATGTGGTGTGATGTATTGTGGTGCAATGTAGTGTGGTGTAATCTGGTTTGGTGTAATGTAGTGTAGTGTAATGTAGTGTGGTGTAATGTAGTGTGGGGTAATGTAGTGTGGTGTAATGTAGTGTGGTGTAATGTAGTGTGGTGTAATGTAGTGTGGTGTAATGTAGTGTGGTGTAATGTGGTGTAGTGTTGTGTAGTGTAGAGAAGTAGAGGAGCATTGCTTTTTATGATACAGGATACTAGAATATCAATCAAGTCAAATCATTGCATTCACAGTCTCATACATTACAACCCAATGCCTAAAAATATTACTGTGCATTATGTTTTTATTAAAGAGTTTAGGGACAAATCATCTTCAATCTCCATTCCTATTTCGTCCTTTACTTTCTTTTTACTTGTCTTTTGCCCTGATTAGGGATGAGCATAACACACCTAATACATCGTGCTGGTCTGTCCAAGGCAGTGACGAGGCAGGCTGTTGTTTGAATACCTTGGCAGTGGTACTGGGGGCAGGCTTCCGAGATGATATACCGTCTTTCTGCTTCTTCAAACCTATATTTAGGCAGTTCACAGGGACTCAGTGTAAAGTGCATGTAGTCATAGTCAAAGAGACAAGACATATCTTGTGGAAATGAATGAACACGTCTCCATTTCTACAAAATTCATTTTCTCAAGAACCCCAGTTCTTTTAAGTCATGATTTTAACGATTAGAATTTATCTTGAATACAGTAGTTGTTGCCACAAATATGTATTGAGTCATCAAGAGCAACAGCCATACATCAAAAATGTAAAGAATTGTTTAAACTGGTACAGCAAGTGGTGTTATATAACAATCTGTGTGTACACTTTGCATGGAAATGAAATCATAACACTTTGAGGTGCTGATCAGACAGGTCAAATAAGGAGACATAAAAAAACATCTAAAATAAAGTCTTTGAAGTGATCCAATGCAACATGATAATAATAATACCAACAATATGGTAGAATCATTGAACAAAGCGTGCATTCATTTGAAATTAGCAAAGCTTTGAAGTGAAACATTGCAGTACACAATTAAGTGCCTACTAAATTCTGGTATTAATAAGGGAAGTTCAATAGTACTTACTTTTCTGAGAAGTTGAAATGACCTGGGTGAAAAGAGGGGATGGCAGCTCTGATTTCTAGAAAAATAAATGAAAAATTATACAATATTGTATTTTCAAATTCTGGAAACAGCACAAGGAAGAGTAAGATCATAATCTATAGAAATCAGGGGAGATTGGACTGAAGTACTATTCTAGAATTTTATAATGACCTTGCCCAAAATTAGTCTCCAAGAAAATAACTAGCAAAACACCTGAATTTGTAAGCTGAAAAATTGAAAGTAACTTGTAACTTAGTCAGAGATATGTTTCTGTAAATTTTGTACAACTCTTTTCTCTGAAAATTTCTTTGATTTTACTACATCAAACAGCAGGCATAGATCTGAAATGAAAAGTTATTTTCTCTACCTTTCTGAAGAAAGAATCCAATGAAGATTGATGTCCATGTTTAGACTGACTGTCCCCCTAAAAGGAAAAATATAAATATATATTCTTCTTTGCTTAAAGAGATGAAATGCAATAGAAGTAAACATAAATTTGATAAAGCATCAATTGTTTTCAGGTGATATTTCATTTGATTAACCATTTTCTGACTGGGCTGTTTGAGAGCAAGTTTGTGTGGGGGTTAGATTTCGGCCGCGGAAGGACCAATTTTTGTATGGATATTGACACCCATATAAAGAGGCCAGTTACATAATTTTTTTTTCAGGAAAAATTGCTGATTTACTTCTTTGATATAATTTATTCAAATTAAACGGCTATTTTTTAAACATATTTATTGACATTTTGCTTTAAAATAAGGTAGAAAGGTCAATTTTCTGAAGAGTTTGGCCGAAACTTGTCTTGATTATTTCATTTTAATGCATTACTTGCTCTACATACTGTATATACCGTATATGGCTACTGACTATTCATCTGGGAATTTTACCCTGATCCTATTCTCTCAATAAAATATAATTTGTAAACAACCCTCAAACAAAAGAATATAATAATAATGATAATAAATAAATTAATAAAATATAAATAAATAAATTATTATTTCACAGAAATAAAATGGAAAAAATAAATATAATACAAGTCAATGGTCAAAATGAGATATTTTTCATTTTCATGGCTTCAATAAAAGTTCCAAGAAATTATGTTGTTAGACACGCATTTGACATAATCCCTCCACTGTACCTGCGAGGAGCGATTTGTCAAAGAATTAGATTTCACCTTTGAGGGTTGTCTTGTCTTTGTTGGTTTACCCATCTTGCTCCTAGAAGACGATTACCCAAGTCAGAAGGCGATGCAGCTGCAGACCTACTGTAGCTCTAGCATCTGCAGAATAAACCGGTCATGAGACCTGCATGAGACAAATCAAAATCAGCAAAATTATGAATATTAATTATTATATCAGATTAAAATGATACCCGTAACCCTGCATTAAGAGTAACTAATGTTGACAAAATCTCATTTGATACATAACAGTCTATTTATATTATTCGTATTACTAAGCAAGGTGAATGCGCAGAGTTTGCTGAATTTAGTGAACTCCCTGTGTGTGCACTCCAGCAAAGCATAGAGAGTCAATGCTATTACGTATTGACCTCTAGCACTGCATGCTTGCTGTGAGGCAGGTATTATTAGACCCATACACAAATACACACACCACACAATATTGCATAGACTGCATACAATCATGCCGATGCGGCTGTAAGTAAAGTTTGACAGTAGACTTATAATTTGAATTTTTAAATTATTCTTTTTAACATCTGTAAGTTGAAAAAAATGTATTTTACTGCTATTTAGGTGTCATCAACTTGTATGATCTAATGCAAGTTAACATTTCATATTTTTTAATCTTAAGTATGTTGAATATTAATTTAAATTATTTGTATGCGCCTTGAGCATCTCTAGAGATGGATATGTTGCGCTTTATAAATATTGTTATTATTATTATTATTATTATCAATTGTCACTAAAGTACCGATTTTGAGTGAAATCAGTTGAGTTTTGTACAGTGGTGTTTGAAATTTGTTTAAAAGCACTTTTACTACACAGCCAGGAGAGTGATGCTCTTATGTGTGTGTGTGTGTGCGCCTTTTTACATTTATCGCTCTTAAATCTTATAGTTAAGTATCAGATTGGCAACGCAAAAACAGGGGTTTGATTTGTACACCGCATGTACGTAGGCTTTCAATTATGTAAGCAAATACGCTATCGATCAATCCGGTATCAAGTTTTCACTTTTTAGTGTGATTTCTTGACCGATTTCAAAGCGCTTTGTAGATCTAGACTATGTAAGGAAAGAAGAGTCCATGTCCACTACAGCACTAGTAAACTCACCTTACCAAGGTTTCAAAGCCAGTGAGCAGTTTGCAAGGTTTGTTAATATTGGGTGCGGGGTGCGCTTATGGCGCGGGAAGGCCAAACTCTGAAGTGAAGGGTCGATTGCCAACAACCAGCGACAAAAATTTTACTGACGCATACTTTTAGGTTTTGTTTACATCACTTTTCACACAGTGGTTAAAACTATGGGTGCCAATTAGGCTAGGCAATACTAATATCACATTTAATATCACCTGCTGACCTAGATCTAGCCTAATGCTAGGCTTGAGTTGAGGCAAACTCCACACAAACTTAGTTAGATCTAGTTGTAGTTGTACTTGTACACACACTCCAGCAAAGCATAGAGTTAATGCTAATGCGTATTGACCTCTAGCAATGCACTAGGCCTACGTGTAAGCAGAGCTACCAAGTGTCATGCATTAGGCGTGACATCACACATTTCGAGGGTCTGAAAATGCTCTCACGCACGACGTTCGCGCTAGATTTTTAAAAAACGCTAGGTCTAGGCTATAGATTCTAGGACGTGTGTTAACCCTCGCACGCGGGTGCGCGCGCCGAATCATGAAAATGTCACGCATTGCGGATCTTTGAACTTGGCGTCTCTGCTCTAGTCAATACACTCATATTCATAACACACATAGGTCTAGAACTCTAGATTCTATGCACACAATCATGCGGATGCTGCTGATCGGCAAGTTTGACACCAGGCAGTGGACTCACATTTTGAATTTTGAATTATTCTTTCCAACATTGGAAAGTTAAACAAATTGTATTTTAGGTCTACTGCTATTTAGGTGTCATCAATCGTCACTAAAGTTTAATACTAATAATAGCACAGCTTTTTTTAATACACAGCCAGGATGGTAATGCACCTTATGCTATGTGTGTGAACACAGTGCAGTCAAACTAGATCGAGATCTTGATTTAAGTCCCACTCGCTCCAAAATATGTCACATTAAACTTTATGTTATTGTTTTAATAACCTCTACATAACATAACATTCTTAGGTTGAAAAGAAAGTCTATTAACTCTAACTTCTTACCTCCTTGATACTCATTGTACACCCTCTTCGTAAACTCGTTTCCTATTTTTCTTTTGGAAATCGGGTGCATCAAGAGGACATGAATGACGAAATTCAAAATTGAATCACGAAAACGAAGAGCAAAAAAAAATTAAATAGCGCGCGCGCGTATCATATGTGATAGCTCTGTCTGCCGTAGCTGGGGCTGTAGCTGAAAGTCTAATAGTAGAGACGGGAGTAGAGAATTAAGAGAGCCCTCGAGATATAATTATGTATGAGCAAGACTTATTTTGTTTTACTTTGCATTTGGGGGTACTAGTAATGCGTGGCATGAATTGGTATCCACGTAAACCTCTTGCAAAAATATTAAGAAATAAGATGGGATTGGGTGCCACGCACATTTCTTTTACTAACTCATTTTTTGCCCAAAATTTGAAAGAATGTTTAAAAAAAAATCATGATTTTTAATCGTTTGACACTTTGACTAAATATGTATAATCTGATAAAGAACTTTCAATTGAAATGACATTTATCGCGATTTTGAAGTTATAATATAGAGATATCTATATAAGGGTTTGGGGTCGAACCCCCCCCCCCCCCCCCCTCGAATTTTGTTTATGTGTGTGTGTTTTGGAGGAACCCCTCCCCTATTTTTTAATTTTAAAAATAAAATTAAAATTAAAAATAAAAAAAATATGCTAATGGTGACCTAAAAAGGTGACATTACCCACCCCCCCCCCCCCAAAAAAAAGAGAACGAAATGTCGATCAATCAAATTGTCAAATTTCGGAACAAAAGAAAAAAAATAAGGACATTTTTGGGGGGTTGCTTACTAACAAAACAAGCATTTAAAGCCCCACTGTCCTACTTGTAGCTACTTGCTCCATATATAGAAAACTTCCCAAATCGGTGCCTGTTGGTCCCCCATGATCCTCTTTTTCTTATGTTAGTTGAGAGCTGAGTTAATGAGATAGCCACCTGTCAGTGACCTCGCTGTGTGGTCTAATCCCTTCTGGCCCAGTAGTAGTGACGGTCTTTAAACTTTCTTAGCAGTCAGGTAAAATAACCACCACCAGGCTGATATTTGCCATTTCAACTCATATACATGTATATGACAGAGGTCTAGAGTGGGAAATAGAAATTCCATCCATGCCCAAGCTCCCTACTGATACTAAAATTTACCTCCTAAACTGATATTTACAACCCTTCGGACTGCCCACTAAATACCAGCAAAGTAAAAGTGAAATGTGAAAGAGGTATATTGCTTGGTTTTAATATAGTTTTGCAAAGGAAAGTACTTTTGTAATACAACAAAACTTCAAAAACCTGTGAGGGGGTAGTCAGTGCCGTCACCTTCCCCCTCTCGTTCACAATGCTCCCTCGTTCCTCGCACTGGCGTAATGATGGGGTCTTGGGGGGCAGTTGCCCCCAAAAAGATTCAAACGTTTTTCTCACTTTTTTTGTAAATTATACTGTTGTATGCGTTTATGGAAAATTCCCAAATTTACAGTCAGCCGAAAACATGCTTATTTAGAAGCCTACATGTCAAGGCCCGCGGATCGGGGGGCTCGAGCCCCCCGCTCCCCCCCCCCCCCCCCCCCCTCTTCCCGCCCTCACTTTTTTGAAAAAGTATGTTGAAGAGAACCTGCCAGTGTCACAAAATATGAGGTATCAAAATATGCTCGTCTGACCGTGATTAAATAATTAAAATCCCTGAGCTTGCCGGGGCTCCATCCTTTATGCCCTACAAGCAGTGGACCCTATGGCGGGCCCCTAGATGCTTATCTGACTGTAATTAAATGCCTAAAAACCCCGAGCTTCCAGGGGGCTCCTTGGCCCCACTCCAATTAATGACCTGAAATGTGCCCCCCTAAAATTTCCAAGATCGGTTGAACTTTTCTAGACCCCTTTTTGTTTTACCTCGATCGATAACATGTATGTTCCCCCTAAACATCGAACTCTGGCTACGTGCCTGCAGATAAGCATTTTTTCTCACCGTCTTTCTTTCTTTTTCTCTTTAACATACTTTTTCAAAAAATGAGGGGGGGGGGGTGGAGCCCAGCCACTTTGCAAACCATGACATAAAGGCTTCTAAATAAGCGTATTTTTCGCCCGACTGTAATTTGGGAATTTCTTATTTTCCAACAAACGCATAAAAGGGTCTGACTTACAAAAAAATGAAGAAAAAATACCGGAAAATCACGTCATTACAGCAACATTTGCAAATCACTGGTATCGAATAAGAAATACACCCCCATCTGTACGCCAGCGTTCAGGGGCTCATGTCTTCTCACCCCTATAACAAAAAAACAGACACGCTTTCCAGTTCTCGCACTGTCCACGATATGCGCGTATCGCTATTATAAAGACCTCCATAAATAAATACCGTATAGGTGGCATGCGCAATGTTTCTGAAATGTAATTCCTGTGAACTTTCCTTTTCTTTGAATGGAATTGTATATGTGATTTAATTCAGATTTGTATTATTGTTATGTTCTTTGGGGTTAAAAATACAATCAATGTTTACACCTTCACTGCTTTTTTTTTGGGGGGGGGGGGGGGGGGGGGGGGGGGGGCGTTTTTTTTTTGGGGGGGGGGGGGGGCAAAAATGCGTTTTGCCCCCCCCCCCACTTTTTTGGTTGGGGCCTATGCCTGACAGTGTCACAAATAAGGTATCAAAATATGGTTATCTGACCGTAATTAAACGCCTAAAACCCCTGAGCTCCACCGGGGTCCACCCCTTGACCCCCGCTGGGGCTTTGCCCCCTGAACCCAAGCAGTAAAGGCTATTATATTATCAAACAAATCTATACCATTAAACTTCAAGCTCACTCACACATGATATATTGCGACACTTTAAAGGCTACTCATTATTTCAAATTCATGCACTCATTATTTCAAATTCATGCATATACAAACGGCAACAGTTTCAATATAAAATGTAAGTTCTTCTCACTTAAATCATTGGTCTGGAAAGAATTGTTGCATATTGTATTACATTTTCACTAAAGATGAATTTATATTGTAATGCAATTTTCAAGTTTCCCACGTTTATTTGGAGAATAGAAGATTGATATTGTTAAGTTATTCGATAACATCACTAAATTTGATTTGATTGGAGATACAGCTCAGTAAAGGCTATATAGTCTCAAACAAATCTACACCATTAAACTTCAAGCTCACTCACACATGATATATTGTGACACTTTCAAGACTACCTATTATTTCAAGTTCATGTATATACAAACGGCAACAGCTTCAATATTGAATGAAGTTCTCCTCACTTAAATCATTGGTCTGGAAACAATAATATTTGCCCATTCTTGTATATTATACAACATTTTCCATAACGATGAATATACATTGTATTGTAATTTTCAGGAAAACCATACGTGTCTCTTGTTATATTTCTTATATGATACTAAAGCAAATCGTTACGCTTATAGATAGGATAATGTGAATGTCGAATGATAACATCATTACGAGTATTATTAACCGGATAGACATGTAAACAAAAATTTAAACATGCATACACTTTTGCCAGCAAGCAAGTTTTTCAACAAAGAATACAAAATTTGAACAACGTTTGACAACTTAGTCAGGACAGATTAGAAGATGCTTTGAAGCATGCCCTACACTCTTAGTTGGACTGTAACAGTTGTCTTCTAAAGTCTTCCAAATTATAAATTTAAAGGAGGTCAATACTCATTATGAAATCACCACTCTCGTTAGGTTGACACATCAATATATATATATATTGTGCACACATGTAACAATTTGAAAATACTTTTTCTTTTGGGGGGATGAGGGCGGGGGCAATCCAGAAAGGGACCGATATGTGAAAATGTGGGCACTAGCCCATGGACTATGGCCTAAAATGGAGGTTTACTGATAGGTCACTTCACAAAAATGCCATACGTAGTCCTTCTTTGTGAATACTTTTTTGAGAAAAACACAAAGTAGGTGGAGCCAACGTCTACACACGTCACATCGCACCCATGGAGGTTTTGTGTCTGTGTCCTTCCCTGACTTTTCACGCGACACATATATTTCCTCATGTTTTTTTTCGAGATGCTCCACCTTCTGAGGATCTATTCTCTTCGACACAGCTAGAGCGTTCTGCAATTGAAAGCGAAATGTGCGAGTCAGGGGCGGCAATTCCGGGGTGTGGACACTTCCCCCCTCAATTTTTAGAGGGGGATCTGAAGGGCCCAAGAATGCAGCGTTTAGACTAATACAAATGCAAACAATTTCTCGCACGGTCGCTACGCTCCCTCGCATAATATACGAGTAAATATTGTAGAAAATATGTATTATGTTGGTACTACGTTAGCACAGTTTACATTGTATGTTTACAAGATTAAGAGTTATAGAATAAGATCTGTGGTACAAAAATGAATATTCAGCTTGCTCTTTTAAAAAGTCCCTTCCTGCCTACTTACTAAAATTTACCTAATAAATATTTAAAACCCTTCGAACTGCACACTAGATATCGGCAGAGTAAAATTGAAATGTGAAAAAAGTATATTGCTTGTTTTTATACTATAGTTTTGCTAAAGATATTTTTAATACAACAAACCTGTGAGGGGGTAGCATAGAGCTATATAATAAGACTTATCATATAGCTCTATGAGTCATCAAAATATGCTCATCTGAAAATAATTAAATGCCTAAAGAACCCCTGAGCTTCATGGGGCTCCGCCCCTGGACCCCACGCCAATTTAAGCTTTATGCTTCGCTCGCTTTGCTACCTGATCATAAATACTTGAGCGCCACCCCCACACCCCAACGGTTCTGCTCATTACGACACTGGCCCCTCTTGCTCACTATGTTCCCTCGTCCCTCGCATTCCCCCCCCCCCCCGGTCATGAAAAGAAATCGCCGCCCCTGATTAAGATTGTAGAAGCCCTAATTGATTGGAGAGCCAGCCAGCTAGCTTAAATCTATCCTCTTCTCTGTCGTCGTGTATTTCTTTGTTTTTCCTTCAATCTATCCTCTTCTCTTTCCAGGGGCGGATCCAGGAATTTCTTCCCGGGGGGGGGGGCACACGGTGGTCCCAAAAAAATTGCAACGACGGTAGTGCGCACTCATTTTTTTTTTTGGCCGGGGGGCACATGCCCCCTGTGCCCCCCCTGGATCCTCCCTGCTTTCGTTATGTCTTTCTTTGTTTTTCCTTCTCCATATCCGCTCCACTCTCCTTGTGTATTTCTTTGTTTTCCCTTTTCTATTATCTTCACTTCTCTGGATATACGTGCTTACACAATTTGTACCATATTGCTGCTGGTGGTTGTAAGCGGTGTGCACTGATGACTAAGACTCTTTAACCAGAGCACTTCTAGGAATATTTTTGCAAAAATGGCCAAACAGTTGTGTAAAAAAAATATGCGCTACTGGGCAACCGACGAGATTTCCTTTGGAGCTCAGTGTTATATTGGTCTGGTTCATAAAGTTATGAGCCAGAGCAATATAACACTGCATGAGCTCCTATAACTGGATTTCGATATTTGCACATTATTTGTTATGCTCTTTCGGAAAACGAAGGAGACGTCACACTTCACCACTCTTATCATCCAACTTGGGAATATTCATGTTTCAGCTCACATAACGTGAGCTATCCGACCTGGGGGTGTTTCACAAAGATTCTAAGTCAAACTTAACTTTAAGTTGGACTTAAAAATTATGGAGAGCCATTTGTAGCCTTAGAATAAAATATATTCAAAAGCAAATATTCAAGTATTTAAGACTTTTTATAAATTCCACATCAAGAACATGAAATATCCCATGATAATAGAAAATATGAATGATTTGAATTTATGCCTTTTAAAATAACTTTTACAAAATATTTTCAAAGATGCTAACGGCTTTCCATAATTGTTAAGTCCAACTTAGAGATAAGTTCAACTTAGGATCTTTGTGAAACACCCCCCCCCCCCCCGGTGTCTTCTATGTTTGTAATGATTTATTAATGGATTGAACTCCCGATAGTCCCGACATAACAAAAAACGGATCGCTGTACCTTTAAACGCTTATTCAAGGTGTTCCTCTTAAACATACGTTACGGGACTATAGCTCCATGCACAACGAAATGAATATTTGCGTAGGTATACTATTTATTCAATGAACTGGGTTGGACAAGTTTTAAGTAATTAACACGATTGAAAAAAAACCACCCAACAAACAGAAACCGGAAAATAAACAGGCACTTCCGTCAGCAATGCCTATAAAATTCAACGGTTGTTTCGATTTCAGTACACGATATTGAATTGAATTGAATTGAATTTATTAAACCATAATAGGCCTACACATGTACATGTAAAAGCAAAACGTACAATATAAAATAGAATACATAAAACATACAAAATACAAAGCAAATATATGGTAAGGACCACAGAGAAGCAAATTGATTATTATATATTTCGCTCTTATATAGCGCTTAATACATCTAAAATGGTCATTGGATTCAATACTTGCCCGCACACACTGTGTGCACAATCTACACTCACTGGGGAGCATTCCAGCCAGGCGTTACTTGACGCTCAAAAACTGTTTGACCAGCAATGACGGTCGCATCCTACCGGGTACCCATTTAACATCTTGCCAAAGGATATTAGTGTCGTGTCGGGATTCGAACCCTCGACCTTCACATCTCCAGTCAAGCGCCTTAAATTACTCGGCCACGACACTCCCATACACTGGCGTACTGGTGGGGGGGGGGCGCCAGCCCCCCCCCCAATAAAATTAAACCATGACTTATTTTCAATTCCGTGATGTATAGATGTTCGTGATATCACATTATTTTCAACAAAATGCGCGTTTCTCTATTTCTGTTGCAAACTGACACATTCCCAAATAGCCAGGAAGAGCATATGTTTGTTTATAGTCACTAAGGGGCCGTGGCCACTAACAGTAACACTTGTAAACAAATCCTTTCCAGAAGCAACTGTGACAAGCACTGCCGGGCGTTCCATACTTACATCGTGTAACACTGCATACGTACCTTCATGGGGCCCAGCGGGGAAATGGAATTTAGACAAGATTAAGAGTAGAGAACGGTAGAACGAATCGTCTTCTTTCTCTTATAATTTATTGAAACGGCAAAGCTTCTGCGCTTCGGGTGGGGGGGGGGACAACTGAAGTCAGACTAGGATTAAGAGTCGAGAACGGTACACCGAATCGTCTTCTTTCTCTAATAATTTAATGAAGTGTCAGAGCTTCCGCGCTTCGCGCGGTAGGGGAAAAACTGAATACAGACAAGAACATGATACAACGAATCGTTTTCTTTCTCCTAGAATTTAATAAAACGTGAAAGCTTCCGCGCTTTGCGCGGGATGGGCAAAAATGAATTCAGACAAGGATTAAGCATAATAATTTATTAAAACGTCAAATCTTCCGCGCTTCGCGCGGGAGAGACGAAGAACTGGATCAAGAAGAGGATTAAGAGCCAGGACCAGTACAATGAATCGTCTTCTTTCTCTAATAATTTAATGAAGTATCAAAGTTTTCGCGCTTCGCGCGGGAAGGGGAGGGGGGACTGAAAAATAACTTAGTTCCTGGCCCCGGTTTATAGGATTAAATTTGTAGACATTTGGACATTGGCATTAATATGTTTGTCGGTAATTGGTTGCTCGTTTTGTCGGTAATCGGTGGCCTCTACACCCTCCCCACTCCCCCACTAAAAAAAGATCTAGCGACGCCCCTGATAACGACACAGTTTATACACTCGAGATTTTTGCAAGTACTACCGATGAAGCACCGGACCACCGTCTTTGTGCATTGTGCGGCATCAAAGCATATACAACGTCTCAAGACGTGACAGATCACTTTTCTCTAACTTCTAACCAATCAGAAGGCCTCGTTTTTTTCCCAGGAAGTGCCGGTGGACATTAATGCGCCAAATATGGTTCTCAAATTGCAAAAGATTCCTACTCTTGGAAGGGGTATGAGAAAGCAATTTTACGTCATATTACTCCAGGAAGTGCCTGAAAGTGCGTCTAATTTGGTTCTAAAATTGCAAATTCTTCTTACTCTGGGAGGGGGCCAGAACCCCCTCCCATACCCACCCCGCTTGGTCGCTCCGCTTCCTCGCCTATAAAGCCTCGTTCTGTCACTTCATCGTTTTACATATATTTAACCCCATGCCATTTTGTGCCCCCCACCGGTAAGAAATTCCTAGATCCGCCACTGATCCATTCAGCGGGGCCTGCATGTGAGAGCGGGGTGATGCGGATTTTTTTTTTGTCAGCCCCCCACCCCCCCCCCAAAAAAAAAAAAACGTTTTTGCTCATTACGCCACTGCTCCCATACAAATATGGTACCCACAAATTAATACCAGTTTCAATTTCATTTATTGGCAAACACCTTCGCACTTTGAACGTTCGAAATAAATTAACATTTACAATTTCTGTAGCTCTATGTAATTCTTACCGCAATGTATTCACGTCATCAGGCGCGTACGCAGACGGGAGGGGGGGGTGGGGAGGTTACCCCCTCTATTTTCGTTTAATGTGTGGTTATAGGAGGATAAGCCCCCCCTCCCCTCATTTTCTTCAAAAAAATTAAAATTTAAAATTTAAAAAAATGTGTGTGATGAAGGGTTAAAACAAAACAGACCTAACATACTTACACTGTTGCTCATAACGGTGGAATATTTTTTTTTATCCCAATTTATGGAATTATTTAAAAAATTATTTAAAAATACTAGATCTAGATAATAGTATACAGTCTCAGATTTTATTGAATAATAATTTGCCAATATGTGTTTTGCGTGACTGCTAAAGCATGTATATTATGCTAATATGTTTATTAACTAGGGGACCTATGCCCTTAAGTCATAAATGACAGTAATGAGGATTAATGCCTCACAAAAGGGCACTAATATAGCACATCGACACGGTGTTGATCCTGGGGCCTCACAGTTACGAGGCCATTGCTTTGTCACTGAACCATGACTGTATGCAGCGGGGGCTATGGTAGGGGGCAGTTTCCATAAATTTAAAAAAACCAGAAAATGCAATAAATTTTCAATAATTTATTGCATTGTATCCCGGTCCCCAACATAAAAAAATCTTCTGTGTGCCCATGCCTTGAGCCATAATGCATGGCCGTCCAGAGGATTTTTTTATGTTGGGGACCGAGGTAGAATGCAATAAATTATTGAAAATTTATTGCATTTTCTGGGTTTTTTTTTAATTTATGGAAACTGCCCCCTACCATAGCCCCCGCTGCGTACAGTCATGGTTCAGTGACAAAGCAATGGCCTCGTAACTGTGAGGCCCCAGGATCAACACCGTGTCGATGTGCTATATCAGAGCCCTTTTGTGAGGCATTAATCCTCATTACTGTCCTTTATGACTTAAGGGCATAGGTCCCCTAGTTAATAAACATAGTAGCATAATATACATGCTTTAGCAGTCACGCAAAACACATATTGGCAAATTATTATTCAATAAAATCTGAGACTGTATACTATTATCTAGATCTAGTATTTTTAAATTATTTTTAAAATAATTCCATAAATTGGGATAAAAAAAAAATATTCCACCGTTATGAGCAACAGTGTATATACAAACAAAATTCAGTCTTTCTTCATTAGATTGTGCCTAATACTCATCAGGGTTTTTTGTGTGTCTTCTTTATAAGATGTAATGTCGGTCTAGCGGACTGTTTCTTTTTTTCCGGAAATGAGGAAATAAATCAATTCAATATCAAAGTAAAAAAGATGTATTGAAACTGAAATTGGATTGTACAGTAAAACAATGCAAATGAGCCACCCGAGCACACACAATGCACGACAGCTCGACGCAGTAATATCCGGGAGTATCATACAGTCGTGTCTCGCTTCAACAGCGATCTGGTTTCAGTTTGTCTTTCATTCAGTCGTTGGACTTCCTTAGATGAGAAAGGGGATTATTGAATGCTCTTGAACCCCGTCTCATTCTCCGTGATTATAAAGTGAGTAATATTTGAATTTCTATAATAATACGTTCATTTAAAGCGATTTCATTTTTTTTTTTTCGTTTCTTACCTTACCTTATTATATTACTTTAAAAAAAAAACTTTGGCAGATGTTTTTCTGAAATATATGCCTACCTCTGTAAATGAAACGACGAATTGAGGAAGAAAAACTGATTTTATACTGATTCTGATAACGCACAAGAAAAGTGTTCTTGACATTTCTTTTTATGTTGGCCCCATTTTGTCATGATTTATTCATTTTTCTTTGACCATCATTTTTTTTAAAATAAGTTTTTGATTGAAATGATGTCATCGTATTCAAATTCGGGAAGGGGGGGGGGGGGGGGGTACACACATTAAGACAGACGGGGGTGTGCCGCTCTAATGGGTTACTTTTTCACAAACAATCCCGAATTGTGAAAAATGGGCCAACATGACCCTTAAAATGGAAAGGGGTTTCGAGGCTTGAGCGCCAACCCCCGCCAAACGAAATCTGATTACCCCCCCCCCCCCCCCGGTTCAAAAGATTTTCGGTTGGTGATTCGAGGCTTTCGAGGCTTGAGCGGCACACCGGGCCCCATCCAAACCACATTGTTTATGCTAGCCCATATCCAATGGTGTATCAACTGGGACGAGGGGCAAATGCCCCAGTAGTACTTTAAAAAAAAGATAGGAGGCAAAAACGCAAAAGGAAGAAAGAGATAGGGAAGAAAAGTAAGACAAGTTATGATCATTAATAAGGGTTGTATGCGCCCTCAATACGCTGGGTAAATTGCATATGAAATTGGTTTTTTAAGGGTATATAAGATTATACATTTCCTAAAGCTCGGTAGCTTTTGCTCACTCGCATAGGTTGCTTCAAGATCTCGAAATTTCCCCCACCCCAAGACTCATGCTACTAAATATACTGTATAGTTTATAGAAAGTGTTTTAAAGAGTTCAAAACAGTGAACAAGAAAATGTAATTATCGTTGCTTTGCTCCCTAGTTGTTCTCCCGCGCAGATAATAGATCAATTTATCTGCAAACCATGGCGGACCAGACGGAAATTACAAACGTTACCTCTGATCAAACTGAAAATGGCCAAGGACCACCTTCCGAAGAAGACCCGGATACTGTTGAAGATATGCAGGTACCTAGGCCTTTCATAATATTTTTGTGCACTTGATATGCTCAAACAGTAGCTATATTTCGTTACAAATTACTATTCATAGTCTCGTTATGATCGATCTCATTCGTTCAAATTTACTCAACGAACCTTTTGTCGAATTCGTCTTTCTCATTATAGCATAAAGAATCTCAGTTTCTCCTGAATTATCTGTTTGAGGTATATTCTATTTATTTAATATTTGGCGATAGATTCTTTATTTTCTTCTTTATTTTATCTATTTTATCAAAACATGATGATTATTACTTTTACAAAAAGTTATTAAAGTACCTTATCAATTTTTTACATTTAGGATGGTTAGAGTACAAAATTTACATTCACCTTAATGTTTTATTTTTGAAACTCGTGATTTTTGTATTCCACAATTTTGCTTTTCTGACATAATAGGAAAAGTAAATTTCGATGGCAATTCTCTTAACGTACCACGAATATCCCTGGATTGAATCTTGTTATCTCACACGACTAACAAAATATGACTACATGTTGCCGAACATATGCAATTCATTTAATGTTATATTTCGTCGACATATTCTGTATCTTGAACATAACTTATATGTTTGCAGTGGCATATCGCGATTTCAGCCGGAAATCTGGGGCACTTTTAGCATAAGGGGAGGGAGGGGTACCGTTCAAACTAGGTGGAAGAAATGTGAGAGAACATTGCCATCGATTCGTGGGGATAGGGTGTGGAAGGGGTTGTACAATTGTCTATGTTCGTTCATTTTTTTTTAAATTTCTTCTCTATGATTTCTCTCTCTTTCTCTCTTCCCAAACCCCCTCTCTGCCTTTGTTTCTGTCTCGATCTGTAGCTTACTCTTTGTTTCTCTGATCTGTCTGTTTTTTTTTCTCTCTCTCCCTCTCTCTCTCTCTCTCTCTCTCTCTCCCTCTTACCATTTGATAGGAGGGGTACACGTGCCCACAATGCCTCCCAAATAGCTTAGGTTATTGTCACTGTATATAGAGTGGTGAAGTGTGACGTCATCATTTTTTTTTATTTTTTTAATTTTTTTAATTTTTTAGAGTTTCTCCATTTTTTTCCTTCATTTTCCGAAAGAGCATAAAAAATAAAGTCCAATGTCGAAAGCCAGTTAATCATTTTAATTATTGGCTGAGATATGACCATCTGAATAAAACGATATAGGAAGAAACTCAGTGTTATATTGCTCTGCATGGTTCATAACTTAACGAGCCAGAGCAATAGAACACTGAGCTCCTATAGGAAATTTATTTATTCAGATGGTCATATCTCAGCCAATACTTAAGATATTTTATTGGCTTTCAACATCTATTTTCCGAAAGAGCATAACAAATAATACGGTTGCCCGGCAAAACGTCGCGTAGCCGGTTTTACCGGTTGCCCGGTGAAAGGTCGCGTAGCGTGGGCGCTGGTAAAGATAGGGGGAACCGAGAAAAATGCTTTTGAACTTTTAACACCTACTTCAAGTGCTAAAAACAACAATGTTTCTCTGTTCCATGTAGCCAAAACTATTTTTAGAGAAAGATATTTACCTGATTTATTATGTTCTCAAGTTATTTTGCAAATATGTCTTTCTTTTGATTTTTTTTTATACCAATGGCTGACCTAAAAAAAGGTGACCTTACCCCCCCCCCCCCCAACGGAACAAAATGTCAAATTTCGAGACCAAAAAAAAAAAAAAAAGTGTCCTCTTACCCCCCCCCCCCCCTGAAAATAGATTTTGTTATGATGTCACAGCTTCGGTACTCTATATGGCTTCTGCCTGACTACTAGTATTGGTAAAGTTCCCTGCCAAAAGGGGTAAAATAAATACAAGTGGCTGTTTCTTGACTAAAATCTACATAAGATGATAAATGCTCAAGAAAAGAAACAATAAGAAGAAGAAGAAGAAAAAGAAGAAGAAGAAGAAGAAGAAGAAGAAGAAGAAGAAGAAGAAGAAGAAGAAGAAGAAGAAGAAGAAAAAGAAGAAGAAGAGAAAGAAGGAGAAGGATGTTGTTGTTGTTGTTGTTTAATGTTTTAATAGCGCTATCCATCGATTTCGATGATTTCTGCCAATGAGAGGAAAAAGAATCCTTTTAAGATGCACTCACTAAACAGTTTATTTGTTTTCTATTGCATTTTTAGGCGTACAGGGAGACGGAGTGCATATAATTACTATTAGCACATGCGATGAAGAATGAATGAATACGATATATAAATTCATACATTTTAATACATAGGCCTACATTCATAAATATGTATATTCATCATCGATTATCATTTTGTACATACATTTAGTTCTGAATCATTGTATTCTAAAGTATAATAATCTGTCAGTGCCATTTTGAATGAAGTTGTTAATCATGTAAAGAACACGGTGCAACGTGAAATAGGCCTATATTGAGAAATCATTGTGAACATGCGCAATCAAGCCTTTGGCTGCGAAGTATTGTCGGAATAAAACCATTATTGAATTGTATTAAAACGAATGAATCAGACCGTCGATTCAAAGAGCGAATCACGATTAGGCCTACATTCCAGAAATGTTAAAATGGATAATCAAAAAGTACATTATCAAGTTTTGGTGGAAGCTGATTTAACAAGTATAGTAAAGAAAGAGTAATAGTAATCATATATGCAGTGTCAAGAACATTTCTCCATTCTTATTTACAAGGGTGGAATCAATACTAATTGTCAAGTTCAAATCAAATTCTCAGTGGTCGGAATGGAATTGTGTATTGTTGCAATGTGAGATTAGGGGGGGGGGGCCAAAGTTAGTCTATGCCCCTTTCAAATGTTCCAAATTTTCAACCTCAACAGCTCTACTATATCCTTCTATATCTTACATTTTTCGTTTCCAATTTAACTCTCTCCATCTTACACAGAACGATGAGGAGGTGGTGACGCAACAACCGAAGAAGGACGACAAGAAATCTTCGTTTGAAAAGGAAGGTCCGAGCGCGGAGATCGAAATCGATCCGCTCAACAAAGAAAGCTGCGTGTCGGCAGCGGCAGGAGTCGGCTCCGTGTCCAAGGACTACATGGAAGGGACGGTCAACGCCGAGTACGTGGGCCCCAACGTGGCCTGCGTCATGTCTTGCGACGAATGCCCGACTATCGTCACCAACTGCACGTTCGAGCTATGCAGCGCCAACTACATGATCGGGGTCATCCTCTGCACGATTGGTCTCGCTTTCGACACGAAGCTGACGTGGACTGACGAAGGCGTGGAAGCCGAGGTGTTCGGTACTGGCCTGGACACATCGGAAGGGTTCTCCTTCTCCGCGTTGGGTTCGAAGATTGGTATCGCCAATAAGGAGAAGAGGGAGAAGAAGTGGGCTAAGAAAAAGCTGAGGTGGGAGAAGAAGGTGGGACCAGAGCAAGATAAAGATGAGAGTGGAGAAGTGAATGCCGGAGAAGTGAATGCCGGAGCAGATTAGCCTCATGATAATTTCGCACGCCTTATTATGAATTGGAAATCATTTGCCCCCATCGGTGAATTTGTTTTACAGATATTTTATGTGAGTTATTGAAGAATGTTCTCTTTCATATGAAACACATTTTAAAAGCTTAGTTCGGAAATTATATAAAGTCCTAATTTAGATTTTATATATTAATCGTTATAGTAATATTTTAACATTTTATACCTAACATATTAAAACGATTATGTTAGACCTTCACATCAAAGCCCTAAACTTTAGAACAACAACGCTTTTTAAGAAAAACAACGCTGGCTATGAATACATTTGACAAACCTGAAAAAGGCTTAAAGCTGAAAATTCGTATATTTCATATCTTCTACGGTTGTCTCATTATTTCTTTGTTTATATATATTTATATATATATAAAAGAGATAGGATTAGGAAAGTTAACAATACCCTGACTAAAAAGAAAAAAGCAAGATCAAGAACAAACAAATAATCTTCTCTTTTTCTAATTGTTTCCTAGTTGAAAACAGTGAAGACACTAACCTTCTCATTTTAATCTTATATTTCTATTCATTTTCATTAATTTTTTGAGTGGAGGGGGCGAGGGTGGGAGGATCTGGGGCCCATCTTATCAAGAGCTGCGATTGATCCAAACCAATCCCAATGCGGCCCCCAATTAATTGCAAGTTTGCAGTCTCCTATCTTTTATGTACATAGTTGCGATTGATATCAAACGTAAATAAGTTGCGATTAATAACAATAACTCTTTATAAGATACATGTATATGCGTTTTGTGGTGACGTGTGTGAGGCTTTTTTGGGGTGTTCTTGCTCGTTTTTGTTGTTTATTTATGTTTGTTTTTGGCTACATGTATTTTTGTATTTGTTGTGGCAAACTATATTTGTGAGTTTCCACATTCCGTGTGACATCATACCCATGATTAAGGACTTGGTAAGAGAAAATTTGTTTTTAATGATAATGATTTGACAATTGTAAGTGAAGTCTAGATTGTCTAGATTTTGTTTGCATACTTTCAAAATTTGCTTAATGATATTCATAAATATAAAATGACTGTAATATTAAGTTTAGAATAACCATGTTTTGATTGTGTATATTATTTTGTTGAGAAGATTCAAATCTTGTTTTCAATCACGTGCTATTTACAAGGGAAAGTCATTCGACTTCTTTTTTTTAACTTGTTCAGGTTATGTTTGCATGTATAAATTTGCTATAGAAAGTTCGAAATCACTGTGTTATTTTTAGGGGAATTCTCTTTTTTTAAATATTTTTTTTTGTAAAAATAAATTGAGATTGCTCAGGTTTTAATTGTTTGTAAAAAAAGGGAAAGAAAGAAAAAAATAATAATAATTTATTATCTACAGTACCGGTAACTTAAAATCTGATCTGCATATAGTTTGATTGGGAAGAGATTTTTTTGTTTAGAGCTGTCTGGCTATAGGTACATGAGTGGGTACATGTATACTTTTGTACTTCCGACAATATATTATAATTTTGATACTTATATCTCATAATTTGTACATGTACATATCTATTTTAGAAGTACAAGTGTACATGTATTTTCGTCTATACATAATAATATAGGATGCCTATTGTAAATATCATTTTATTGCCGTATAGAACAAGTTGTTTTTCTGTATTTTTGTTAAATTTAAAAGCCTTTTGTAATATTGCAATAATATGAGTTAATATCATATTGTATTTCCTTTTGTCATTTACTTGAAAAGTGATTAATTTCATCTCATGAGCTGCATGTAATATTGTATGATATGTTTCTAAACCGAAATAAACTATTGCAATGATTGCAAGACAATAATGACAATAGATGAATGGAAGTTCTTTACATCGCTATATTATAGTTGAACACGTGACTTTGACTGCTATATACAGATAGAAATTGGTAGGGCGTATCGTATAACATTTTCTAGAGTCTAGACCACCGTGGGGTGCTGCGGATTAATATGATCATGGGGGAAAAATTATAAGTCCCTTGCAGTCCAATAAAGGGCAATTGTGAACTCACATCAACGCTTTTTTTTTTACAGCCGTCCAGCCTTCCACATCATATGCACTCGGCCAAGAAAATTGGATGCAGTATGACCGGGAGTCAAATATGGTAATTACACTCCCCGCAATTGAAACCACGTGACAAACTGTGGACCAATCACATGTTTGTTTCTGTAAGGGCTATTTAATAAAAGATCATAGCTGCAATTCCTTTAAACATGAGTATCATCAAAGTTTTTAATCTAATACAAGATTTGTATAGTTGAATGTACTGTGCGGAGTGCGAACACACCCATATATATATATATATATATATATATATGTATGCTAAAGGCTGCCCCCTCTCCCCCAGACAAAGAATAATTGATAAAGGTTAAAGGTTCGTCAAATCGTTGAATCTGGCTTATCTCAATGGTCAAGCGGTTAATGTAATGGCGTTCTATTAAAGCGAGGGACCTTGGTTAGATTCCAGGCGAAATTGCAAATAGAAAAAAAGGGAGGACAGCGGTGGGAAATTTGAACGAGGTATGCACTCTTATCAACTCATTTTCATTTCATACTGAATTGTTCAATTTCTGGCACTTTCTCTTCTCTTTTGTCATCCTTTAAAACTGTTTGTTTTGTTTTGATATCCTGTGGTATTCTTGAGAAGCGACAGGAAATGATGAGCAATGAAACAAAAAATATGCATTTCAGTATTTTAATGCAAAGAAAAAGTAGGTTTCACATCTGTTAAGTTGATATTCTTTATTCAAACAAAGTTACAGGAAGTACTTATAGCAGCAATAAATGTTTAATACATGTACAAAAGGCTTAGGAGGATATGGATGAAGTGTAAATTTAAATTCATGTACCGGTATATGTATCTGAAATGATCAAGTAAAAGGAATTGAATGAATTAATCTACACATGTACATCTATTGAAACCTAATTGATTCATCAATGTACATTCATGTATACACTTTTCCAAATATGCAAAAAAACTAAATAAAAAATTTTAAAAGCAAAGAATAAAAGAGAAAAGTTACTATTCATTCCATATTTTACTTATTGGGATCAGCAAACTGACAGCCCACAAGACTGACATTCACAAAAGGTTCGCTAGACTGCCAGCCCACAAGACTGATCAAGCAAAAAAAAATCCATAAGAAAATATAGAGAAGAAAGTCTAAAAAGTTCCACAAAACCAAAAGCCAATAACACCATGTATTTAGAGCCTATTTGTGTAGCTTTACAAAAGAAACTCAAACAGGGCTCATATTTTGTAGAAAATATACTTGATAGTATGCAGGATTGGGGGGGGGGGGAGAAAGGGGTCATGTTCGATGTTTGACCCTGCTAACGATCATGTATTAGTAATTGAAGTCTTTGAATATGAGGTGACACAACCGGGGCAACACCCTATCCCCAAATATTTGGTTATGTAACAATTAACATAATGCTATTATATGTTATGTATATAGTGCCTCACATTGGACATGTCAATGCACTTTACATCAGGTACAATAACAATCAATGCAAATTGGGCAAAAGCATTCCAAGGCAATTTCCCTGTAATAAACTAATAATTACTACATTTCTGAGTAAGACATGATGATATATAACAAACTTATTTTATGTATTTCCTGATTGTAGTTCCCCCAAGCTATATTGTGGATAGTTTCACTTCTAACCATTTGTATACACATCAAATGCGGATGGATAGAACTTGAAATACAGATTTGAAAACCCTTCTTTCATTATTAGAAACGTTTAACAATTCAAAATAAACAAGGAAGTCATAAAATCAGGTTTCACATCCCCTTCGACCCCTTGTTACGTGTGAAGTTGGGAAATCCTGGACGAAATTCCACTTTTCTCTGAAGCTGACCAATTTTTGATTGTTAGCATAAAACTTTAACCCATTACCAAAGGTAACTGGGTGACTCATGTGGTTAAGCCTATGGGAATTAGAGAAATCAGAATTCAAGGGGTTAAGACCCGAACATAGGTAAATAGGGCAACTACTTTCATATCCAACCAACTCCAATACTGCTTTCATAAAACATCAATACAATGCCTTTATCTTCATATTGTATTGTTCTTTTAAACCATGTTCACAATAAACTGCCAGAAATGCACACTTATCTTGTGACTTATTTTTAAAGGGAAAGTCCACCCATATATCAAGTTGGTTTTAATAAAAGCAGAAAAATGAGAGAAATAACCCTCAACTTTAATACTTAATCATACTTTCATCCAAAATATTAATTCATACTTATACATGTAATAAGAAATGGAGAGGCAATACAATGCCAAAGGAAGATCTTTTGAACTTCTTGGCTGAATTCAACTTTTTCAAAGCAACCTTCCTGTTTCACTAATTTATGAAGATATTGAGAATAACACCTTCACAAAAATTGCTTGTATTCTATTGAGAGAAACCTCAATGAATTGGTTGAGATATAAACAGCTGTCAATTTGAAAAAGAAGGAATTGACAGTGTGAATTTGATTTGGAACGTGTATTAATAATTTCAAATTAACAGGCAGCAAGGTGTGCTATTTTGTAACCATCCTGTCAACACAATGAGCACAAAAGGAGGGTTTAAAGACCCTTCATACTCCAGGCAGACATAAATGCTGTTCTTCAAAACGTGGCTAGAATTAGAAATATCAAGCAGAAGAAGTTCTAGTAGTACTTGTGCCACATCGTATTTGTATCTCATGTTTGTAGAGAAACAGACAGGAAGATAGAAACAGAGAGACACAGAGAGAGAGAGATAACAAGAGAGAAAGAGAAAGAGAAAAACAGACAGAGAGAGAAAGAGAGAGAGAGAGAGTGAGATCCAGAAAGACAGAATGAAAGGGAAAAAAGAAGAAGAGAGAGACCGAACAACATCCATACTACTCAAGTATCACTTGGATGTATACAATGTACATTATACCTATCTACAATCATCATGGTCTACTATCGCAGAAGTAAAATGGCGCTGACTACCTCTTGGTTATAACAAGACATCTTTTATTCAACATATCTACTACTTCTTCTTGGCTGTTGTTAATCCAGCGCCTGCATTGAATTTGAAGAAAATGATTTCACCGTCCTCCACTGTGTACCCCCTTCCTTGCTGCCTGTACTTCCCAGCGGCCTGTTGATGGACAGGAAACGATGATTTACAAAGACGGAAAGAAAGAGAGAGAGAGAGAGAGAGAGAGAGGAGAAACAATATGAAAATTAATGGACTGGAGATCCATTTATCCGACAGACGATCAATTTATCCATTCATCCAACCATCTCAAAATCTATCCATCCACCCACGCATCCTTTTTTCCTTTAATCTCTGATCCATCGACCCTTCTATCCATCAATCCCTCCAGCCATCCACCCATTCTGTCATCCATCCATCCTACCATCCCTCCCTCCATCCATTCTTCCATCCATCCCACCATCTCTCCCTCCATCCATTCTTCCATCCATCCATCCCTCCGTCCATCCATTCTTCCATCCATCCCACCATCTCTCCCTCCATCCATTCTTCCATCCTACCATCCCTCCCTCCATCCATTCTTCCATCCATCCCATCTCTCCCTCCATCCATTCTTCCATCCATCCATCCCTCCGTCCATCCATTTTTCCATCCAACCACCCCTCTATCCATCCATCCATCCCACCCTCCATCCATTCTTCCATCCATCCATCCATTCTTCCGTCCATCCATCCATCCATTTTTCTGTCCCTCCATCCATTCTTCCATCCATCCATCCCACCATTCCTCTATCCATCTATTCTTCCATTCAACCATCCCTCTATCCACCAATCCATCCATCCATCCATCCATCCATCCATCCATCAATCCATCTATCCCAATACCAGTTACATGTACCAATCTGTCCATCAGTGCCTACCCTCCATTTACCTCCTCATCTAACTACCCATCTATCAATCCATCCATCCTACATCTATTCCAATGCCATGTACCAATCTGCCCATCTACCCATCCATGTCTACTATCCATTACCTTCTCATCCATCTGTCCATCCATCTATCCATCCATCCACCCTACATCTATTCCAATGCCATATATCAATCTGCCCAATCTCCATCCATGTCTACCCCTCCATTTACATTGTACCTCCTCATCCATCTATCTTTTCTTCCATCCATCATTATCAGCCCATCTACGGATGTCTTACCTTCACATTATGTTCACTTCCTAGTTCCTTGAAGTCATCAAACTTCATCACCTCTGCCATGATGAAACCTTTCTCAAAGTCTGTGTGAATCCTTCCGGCAGCCTGTGGCGCCTTGGAACCTTTCTGTAATCAATTATAATGCATTCATGCACAAATTAAAGATAAAGTGGAGTACTGGTCCCTCGATTACTGTGTGAGAAAAACTGACAAGGCAATGAGGCAACGAGGCAATGAGGAGAGGTTGAGTATGCAGTGCATAAGAAGTGGAGGTATTGGAATGATCAAATTGAAATTAAAGTTAATAAATCTTCCTGAAAATCACAGGAGCTGCACACAGAAATGGGTGTATGGGACTACACACACATGAAGCATGAAATTTTGGTCAGGGATTTCCTTTATATTTACCCATTTTGTTTGATATTCCACCAGAGTAAAAAAAAAATCACAAAAGCTTAGAATTGTTGGTATCTTGCTATTTATCATCTAAAATCAAAGAAGTGTAATGAAACTTGTTGAAGGCTTATTGAAACTGATCAAGGCCTTTACTATAACAAACAAATCTAAATATGCTATGTCCAGGGACCTGTTTCACAAAGCCTTTTTTTAATGACAGACGACAAAAATCAGTGACAAATCTGCTGATAACCAATCAGAAGCAAGGATTTCAGTTTCACTAGCTTATAACAAAAACTGTCATTTGTCACTGATGACAAGTTTTGTGAAATGGGGCCCTGGACATCCTTCGTGCAAGTGTCACAAGTCATCTCAGAATCATGCTGAATGTGGACTTTCAAAGTTTCGATTTGGAAAAAGGTATAAAAACAAAACTGCCAGAGCCATTTTTAATTGTGCTTTATGAGAAAAACTACAATGAAACTAGAAAGCCTATTGAACACTTCACAGCCACTGTCGTACATAGAATATCACTCAAGTAGAAATGTCAAGTATGCTTTCATATCATTTTCTAGTCTTCTTGCCATTTGTCATTTAAACATCAATGACAGGGTGGAATGGGGTGGGGGGGGGGGGGGGGATTCACAACCAGCCTGCGCTACCTCCTGAGGTAATTCGATTCTATTTCTTGAAAAACTGCTTTAAAGGGGTTCTGAATTTGATTGTTTAACATGCAGAAAGGGGGTCCTTTATTCTAGGAACATAACTCCCATTTATATGTTAGGCCATGTGTTATGCACATATGTCAACTGTATACAGTGCGTCCCATAATTTGATTAAACGAGTACGTTTTCACTGGATGCCTGCCGTAGCAACAAACAGAGTTGACAAAAGACTCAACTCAGCCTCGTTGACAATCAGCCGTAGATGAAAGATTTCATGCATGGCTGATTGTCAATGCAACGGAGTTAAGTCTGTTATCAATTCTGCTTGTTGCTACGGCAGGTAGCCAGTGAAAACGAGTTCGTTTGATAAAATCATGGAAATGCAAGCACTACTTTAAACAAACAGAACTTTGTCATTCCTTGCTCATCTTTCCTGATTGAGGTGTCATATGAAAGGGCAGAAACTCAACTTTCTAGAAATGTGATTTTCTCTTTGAATTCAGATACCGTCCGCCAAATGACTTTTTGGTTTCCTTCCCTCAAATTGATTTTAATCACTCATGCATAAAGTATGCATCATATGAGTTGCATCAAATGAAAGAGGAGGATCTAAGCTTTCCAAATCTGTGAACTTTATTAATTATAAATGTGACTAAGTTATGAGAAAACATCGATTATTCTCGGTTTCGTTTTTTCTGGGACGCACTGTATAGTTGAAAAGTAGTAAAGTCAGATTAACAATACAAAGTCATAGAGGCAACTATTTGAGACTCCACCTAATGACTGACCAATTGAGAATGACCTCAAGAGCCGCAACTGTCCCTCTCATCAAGCTACGATGCAAACTAACCTGAATGGTCCACGCCCGGACCTCGTCTTTCCCCGCCGTGAAGAAGTACTCAAGCTGAAGTGCCTTGTATCCAGTCTTGATCACCTTTTCCAGTATACTGATAAACACAAACACAATACAACACATTTGTCTGTATACACTCAATCAATAGACCATTTTCGTTTTGTAATCAAATTTAATGCACAAATCTTTAGGTGCCACGTTACAAATTATTTCTTTCACCCGTTACAAATAATTAGATTCTTAAAACATGCTCCCAATTTTGTTTTAACCCTTGGTTTTAGTTTAACAGTTGCTCTATTGCAGGTTAACAGGTATGTTGTTATTACCAAACAGGGCTTCATGAAAGACCACCACTATAGTCCGGCAGCCATCTCGATATACCTTGTTTTAGGGTCTATAGTTTTTTTTTTTTTGGATTATAGTTCCTTAGACCATCAATTTGAAGAATCCGATTGCTGACACTCTGTCAGCCTTGAGCAATTTGAGATATGTGACGTCACACAAAATGGCCGCCAAAATACCCTTTTTTACCAAAATTAATGATAACAAAATTGTTTACAGTATTTTTCTACATTAAATGTCAGTCAAATATCTTAATTTTTTCTAGGATCATCACTAAGTAAAAATTGACGATGTTGTATGATAACAAATGGCATGTAAATTTGCATAATTCAGATTGGCGCCCTCTATAGACACGTTAACTTGCAAATTTTAAATGATGACCAAATGCCAATTTCTAACATGAAATTAACATTTTTTATAAGTCAGACGCACTGAATACAATTAGAAAAAATTGTGCACCACATTTTGGTGTGATTTTTTTGTTATTTTGTACTTTAAATGTAAAGATCAGTTTTGGAAACGCCCCCCTCTCAAAAAATGAAATGGAAGCTCTTATCACCAATCATGTGAAAGAATATGTTTTGACTAATACGTGATAATACACATTTTGCCGAGAAACCGCCTACTAATTGATATATTTGGTAAATTATTATATCTATTTAGACCTGGTAGATATCGCGCACGTGTCGCGTAGTCCCATATACATCCTTCTGTGTACATTGCTTGTAACTTTACATAGACTGGGCCAAATTTCTAATCGTTTTGACGATTCCAGAACCTTGCAGTACACACCAATACTTATAAGCTAGATGATCAACCTTTTTCTGATCGATTCCACAACGTTTCTTTCACAATGCAATCGCATGACCATTACTGGTCTTTATCTTTAATACTTGAAGAAAACAAGCTAGAATTTCATGCTCTCTGTCCCATAGATATGAGGTGCCATATGGTTATAAATGCCCGTTTTCAGTGACAGCATTCCGAAATTTTATTTGTATTTTGAGGTAATACATTCTTTTATATGAACCTATCATAAAAAGGTTCCTCTCTTACAACGGAATTTATATCCACCCAAAATGACCAAACATGGTTACCTTCCAATGGCTATCATTTGCTGCTTTAGTTTGATCGTTTTAACACTCGACAGGGGCGCGAAAACCACAGAAAATTGTGAATGCTAGTTTTGCTTTGTTGCATTGGCACCGTGATGATTTACATAGGCTTCCACTCGCACAAGTGCACCGTATTAACCTTAATATGTTGTCAGGTGCGAGTTGTACATTTGTAAGTACGTGACAGGGATCAGGGATTTGGTTTCCTCTTCTTTTGCATAGCCATACTTTGTAGGATCCAATGATGTGGGTCGTGACTGCAAGGCGTGCTTCCACACACATGTTTGCAGATGAGCTCTCTTGCCAACTGAGTCCAAAGGGAGTCAAATCTTCTGCTTCATCACTTTCAGCAATGCATGTACCCTTTTCAATCCCAAAGTATGCCCCAATAGTGTCGCATCCCCTCAACGCATGTCCTGCCAACATCGATGGAATGATATCTCCTAACTTGTGTACAGTGGCAGGAATGTCAATAACAGTTCGCTCTTTGATGAATCCATGATCATTTGCGTTCTAAGTTATTCATGTAGATAATGATGGACCCTAACCCTAACAGCCAGGACCCTAACATACCTTTTTTCATTAGCAGCAATTTGAATCGCTTGCTGTACTATGATGTTGTCTGCTTCTTCATGTGTTATGGAAAGATCTTCCCTTGGCATGACATCGCTGCCTGGTATAACTTCAACAGATACATCATCTTGACCGGTAATGACCAGCTTGTGCTCTTGCCTATTTCTGAACACCTCATCATTCTGCAGAATCACGCATACCGGTATATGATGTCGATCAACTGTAGTTTATTGTCAGTAGTTTCTGGGAGGGAAGCAGTGAGGTGGGAAAACTCTTTTGGATGACTCTCGATTCGTCATGACTTCTAGAAACCCTGGTGGCACACCAACCAAAGATCATCAGATTTTAATCCAGAGTAGAGCACAACCATCAAACGGGCTGTACAAGGTTGTTCAAGTGACACGTCAACCTTTGTCAAATTCTTCAAGTTCGCCTTTGACCTGGTGAAAGCTTCCATGACAAAATATTCTTGATATTGACATATCTTCAACTTGCCTGCAGTCCTATTACTCTAGAGTAGATCAACTTGGTGTCATAGACTTTCGAATCCTCCAATGTTAATTAAACTACACCCTCCAAGTGGTTGAAAACTTCACCTACCTCGGCTCCATGTATTAAGCACCTCTCCCTTGATCTCGAGATCAACGTTCACATTGGCAAGGCAGCAACCAAGATGGCTAGACACTCAAAGCAGGCCTGGAAGAACACTTTACTATAAACCACCAACACGAAAATGAAGATCTACCAGGCCTATATGCTCAGCACTCTCCTGTATGGCAGTGAGTCGTGAACCCTGTATGCAAGTCAGGAGCGCCGTTTGAATGTTTTCCATTTCCGCTACTTGAGGCGAATCCTAGGCATCAAATGGCAGGACCACATTCCAAACAAGGATGTCCTCAAAAAGGAGGGATGATGACCATCTACGCTCTTCTATCACAACGACGGCTGAGATGGCTCGGTCATGTCAGTCGAATGGAAGAAGGCCGCATTTCAAAAGACATCTTGTACGGAAAGTTAGCGACCAGAACCAGGACTGTTAGAAGACCTGGCCTTCGCTTCATGGATGTGTGCAAGAGGGATATGGAGGCCAGTGAAATCAACCCTACAAAATGGGAAGCCTATGCTTCAGACTGCCCCAAATGGAGATGCGCTGTGAAGACATGTATACAGAGGAGTGATCAGAAGAGAGTAGAACAGTGGGAGGAGAAAATACAACAAAGACGGCAGCTAGCCACGGCTTCAACAGCACAGCCACACATGAAATTTGTCTGCAGCAACTGCAACAGGACCTGCCTCTCTAGGATTTGACTGTTTAGTCATAGCAGGAGCTGCACAGCAAGAAACTCTTGCTTGAAGCTGTTAAACAGATGTACAATTGACGGTGTTCAAAGGGAGGGAGTTCCAGAGTCTTATTGTTTCCGGGAAGAAGCTCCTCTTTTAGACAAGCATTCAGGCAAAATGAACAATTATCTTCTTGGAATGCCCTCTGTGCACGGATGTTGATGGAGTGAGGAAAGTATGTGGAAAGTCTTTCAGCGGGTTGTTGATACGAAAGAACATCACCACCTGAGCCTGTACCCTGCGTTCTTGTAATGTTGGCCACTTCAGCTGGTTCAGGATGGCTTCTACTTTGCTTGTCCTGCAGTGGTCATTGCAGTAGGAGCGGACATAACGCCGTTGACCCATTTCAAGCTTCTTGATGATTGCTAATTGTTTGAGTGTTAGGGTCCCATATAATTATGATGATGGCATACTCCATGATTGGTTGAAGGCGAGTATCGTAGCACAATTATTTAACTTTTCTAGGACATGGTTGGATATTTCTTTGAAGAAAGGCACGGGTGGAGTTGGAGTATTTGCTGATAATGTTGATATGTGGGTTCCAGCTGAGGTTTTTCTGCGACTCAACACCTCGATACTTTGCTATATTTTTGTCATCTAGGGTCTGTTCGTGAATTTGATGATGGATTTGCGTTTATTGATGACATGTAGAACCTGACATTTATGTGGTATGAATTCCATCAGCCAATCACGCTCCCAGCGTTGCAGTGAGTCAAGATCCTCTTGGAAACGTTAGGCGTCTTCCTATGTCTTGGTGTTGCTGTATAGCATACCGTCGTCAGCAAAGAGCCTGACTGTTGGTTTTGGGGAGAGGTCCGGTGGCAGATCATTGAGGAAGAGGAGAAACAGCATCTGGCCGATAACGCTGCCTTGCGGGATGCCAGATGTTACTTGGCTGGTGTTGGAGATGGGTCCTTCCAGTAACACCTGCTGGGTCCTGTAACTCAGGAAGCCAAAAAAACCAAGCATGTGTGGGTTCCCGGATTCCATAGAATTGGGGCTTGTGTAACAGCTATAGCCTTCCATGGGGAACCTTGTCAAATGCTTTGGAGAAACCAAGGAGTGTCATGTCCAATTGGTCTCTGGCATCGATGCCTTTGGCAAGGTCCAGGACAGCAAGGACAAGCTGTGAGACGCAGGATCGCTTCTTTCGAAAGCCATGTTGTGCATCAGACAAGATCTTGTGGCTTTCAAGGTGGTTCTTGTTGCTGCTAAGAACGATGTGATCCAGTACTTCACAGGTTACTGACGTCCGAGAGAGAGCTTTGTAGTTCTCTGGCTTGCTACGGTCAGCTTTCTTGAAGATGGGATCAATATATATAGCCATCTTCCATTTATCAGGTATGCACGCTCTGGTTAAGGGAGGCTTGGAAGAATAGAGGGAACACAGGTGTCAGTTTGGTGGTCAGAAGTCTGGCTGGGATTTGGTCAGGACCAGTGGCTTTATGAACATCAAGCTCAGACAGGATCTTCAGAACCCCTGGTGGCGAGATATTAATTTGATCCATGGTTGGGTAGGGGCTTCGTCCTTTGTCTCTCAGACTAGTCATATCTTCATTGCAGTTGAAGATGGGTGAAAACTGATTACTTAGAATGTTCGCCTTTGAGAGGCTATCTGAGTAAGTCATTCCATTAGATTATTTCAATGGAGCCAACCCTGAAGCATCGCATCGCTTGCCGTTTATGAAACTCCACAAACACTTTGGTTTACAGTTGGTGTCTGGGCTGACAATTTTTGTCAGGTACCCGTTGTAGACTTTCTTGGAAATTGTGTCATAGAATCCACCAGGTAACTTCTGTTAAAACTCATGCATCTGTCTGGTACCGATGCCAAATGCTTTATCATCATTCACTAACGCTGGATCAATGCTGATCTAAATAAAGCCTATGAATGGAACAATAATGTACCGTAAAATCACTTCTCACTGATTCTCTTGTAGATCTTGGTTTCTTTACATGTATCTTAATTTAGACCAAAAAATATGTAAGGTTAAAGCTGCACAATCGTAATTATTTCATGCATACGAAGCATATAATATGTGTTTAACGTGACGTAGATCTAAGACATTGGCATTTGGCAGGCACACCTATTTTTATGCAAAATTAATATATTTATAGAGGGCGCTATTTCAAAATATGCAAATTAGCTTGTCATCTATGGCCGTGCATCATCACGAAACAATTTTTAGTGATGGTCCTAAAGAGATACAGACATTTGGCAGCCCAAAATTGTAGAAAAATCCTTGTTTTATATTTATTAAACATTTTTAGAGAAAAATCATGTACCTTGGCGGCCATTTTGTATGACGTCACATATCTTAAATTGCTCAAGGCTGACTGAGTGTCAGCAATCGGATTCTTCAAATAGAAGGTTTAGGCAATCATAATCCATTGAGAAAAAAGAAATTGGCACACCTATTTTTTATGCAAAATTAATATATTTATAGAGGGCGCTATTTCAAAATATGCAAATTAGCTTGTCATCTATGGCCGTGCAACATCACGAAACAATTTTTAGTGATGGTCGTAGAGAGATACAGACATTTGGCTGCCCAAAATTGTAGAAAAGGCCCTATTATATATTTATTATACATTTTTAGTGAAAAATCATGTACTTTGGCGGCCATTTTGTATGACGTCACATATCTTAAATTGCTCAAGGCTGACAGAGTGTCAGCAATCGGATTCTTCAAACAGAAGGTTTAGGCAATCATAATCCATTGAAAAAAAAACTATAGACCCTAAAACAAGGTTAGGCCAATAATCTGGATTTGGCTGCCGGACTACTAATGGTGAAAATGTCATTGATAATATCGCAAATACATGAAAAATTAACTACATGGAACTTCGACTGCGCGCAGTCGAAAATGATGCCTCCGCCAAAGAGCAATTTCGTGAACGAAAACAGAAGCAATTTTTTCAAATTCAAGTTTAACTGTAATCCATTTATAACAGGTCTAATCACTTCATTGGCTCTGCAAGATACATGCATGATTCAAGTTTGGTGGTAATCCATCAATCGGTTCTTGAGATAATGAGATCACGAGAACGGGACGTACGGACGGACGGACAACCAGAAAACATAATGCCTCCGGCTACTTCGTAACAGAGGCATAAAAACGTTTGAGTTAACTGCATCGTATCTGAACGAGGCCTTAGCCGGTCATTCTCATTTTGGTCTTTATAGAGAGGTTTACCTGGCTGTCTTGACTTCTGCGAGATACTTCGCTTTGTCTTCGTCTCCCATATCAAAGAGCTTTGATTCCAGAGCGGCACTGATGGGTATGACGGTAGCTCCAGGATCACTCGCATCTACCCATTCCTTGATCTTCACCAACCTGTTTGTTCATCAGGATTCAAAGAATTTATACGATATTATACAAGAATGGTCAACAAGCACAAACTAGCGACAGGCTTGAGTTTCTATTATACATGACTGAAAATAATCTACAGGCTTAAACTTTGGTTGTAGAGGTTTGAAAGTCAGCAACAAGTTAATATTTCATTCTCAATTAGAATTGTAAGAACAATTAGAATAATTATATCTAGGGTGAATGTATGATTGCAATTTATTAAGTTAAGTTTTCTAGCAGAGTTGCCAATTTGTATTTGATTGATCGCACCTTCAAAAATGCAAAACTTTGTTTTAATTTTTAATCAATTTTTGCTCAAACTTTCACTGGCCTGTTTCTCTCATTTTTCTTCTTATATAAAAACCCATCTGAATATCAGGGTGGACTTCCCCTTCAAGAAATGTCATATAATACCCATAATTTTCACATGAAATATGGAAATATATGACCTTGAGTCACTCACCACTTGTTCTTCTTGCGGATGTAGTCTTTCTCTGATAGGTTGACTAGATAGATAATGGGCTTTGCAGTCAAGAGCAAATGCTTGTTCAAGATTTCAATCTGTGGAGACAAAAACAAATTATATTACCAGAAATTCATCATTCAATATAACAATTATAATGCCATATATATGTACTGTATAAAACTGTAATACATGTTCAACTTCTTCTCCTTTCATCTTCATCTTCATTTTCTTTCTTCTTTCTTCCCCCCCCCCCCTTCTCTCTCTCCTCCTTCCCTACCTCCCTCCCTCCTCCCTCCTCCTCCTCCTTTTCATTTGTTCCCTCTCTCATCTCACCCAATCTCTCTTCCTCTCTCATATTCTCCAAATGATAACCACAAAAGAACAGTTTTTCTCATAACCAGTATAAAATTTTGATCCAAACATCATGAAACCAAGGTGCAATAGGAATACTCAATTGTGATCAAATTAGAATATTTAATCAATGGAACAAACAAAATAGACCAATTCCCATGGAAACACTTACGTCATTCGTACCCCATTCTGCATGTCGTATAGGCTTCTTCTCCTCTTCTAGGTACTTCAAGACTCTATGTAAACATTCCTGTGAGGGATACAAAGCAATACTGACATCATTGATACTAACATTGACAATAATAACGTAGACTTCTTATAAAGCACTCATTTCTATCACGCCGACACACTCATGGTGCTTAAGCATTATTACCCCACTTATGTAACTGAGTCTTCAGAGTAATCAGCAACCCATTTACTTCACCTGGATGGAAAGTGGCAAACATAGATGAATGTCTTGCCTAATGAAAATGGCGTCAGACTGGGAGTCGAACCCTCAAAATCAAAATCTCTGCAATCAGAATTAATTCAATTTATTCTTGGACATACAATTGTTGATTGGACCTTGGTTTACATCAAAACTCATTGTATTTGTAGTTTTGTGAATCATCTCAGTGATTTCATCGTCTTTTTATCGCCATGGAGCAACATGATTGTGATTTTATGTAGCAAAATGTGAAGAAGATATAATAAATAAAATATATTGTGCTTATATTCAAGTATCTAGTTCAATTACTGAACCCTCTTGGACGTCAGAATGACCATTTTAGGGGCTGGGCCCCTCATGAAAATAGATACCAATACATTACCTCAAGGACTATAGTTTGCACGAGATGCTCTCAAGGCAGTATATATTTCATTGTGCCATTGACAGAAGGACGTAATGCGATACCTGAAGTACCATAGAGCAGATTTTTTTAACCAAACTTGGATCGCGTGTGCATACCTGCCAACCTGAGACAAGAGAAATTAGGAGTAAATTTTTCTGGATGGACTACGAGGTCGCGAACCACCGAAGGATTGGGGTAGTAGCCCGTAGATTGGGGGGGGGGGGGGGGGGGGGGGGGGTACACAGGACTTTAGGGTCTATTTTTTTTTTCCATGTCGCTGTGTATATCTTCTATGAGCGCGAGCGCGGATGTCGGTGTGATCTGGTTATCAGTGCTGTGTTATGCTTTAGTCTTATACATACATACATACATATTGGTATTTATTGAGCGCCTTTACATGAACATGCTCAAGGCGCTTTACATTTCAAAATACAAACATAATAGTTATATACTCTCCAAGTGCATTACACTCTAAAAAAAAAAAAAAAAAAAAAAAAAAAAAATTAAATTAAAAAAAAAATCAGAGTTTTGAGGCATGCACTCGGAATTCGGAGTTGGTATGAAAAATGCGGAGGAACTCCACCTAAATCGGGGTGGTTGGCAGGTATGCGTGTGTATAAGCATCCAAGGATAAACGGATCAGACTTTGGGTTGAAGAGGTCAAAGGTCATAGGTTCATAAAAGTGTTGAAAACATGGAAGCCTGCTATCGCGTTAAGTGACCAATAAAGAGAGAAATTTGCTTTATGGCAAGTGCGCACACTAATGACCTTCTTCCAGACATTGATTTGTATACTACCATTCATGCAGACTTACATGTTCTGCTGCTGCCTTGTTATCTGCACCCCTAAGGGGTTTCTTGTCCACATCAGTCAGGTACTCAATGTCCTTTAACCTCAGCTCGTTGAAGATGGTGTCCAGATCTCGGACTGGGTTGATATCACCGTCGACATGGGTCACCTCCTCATCCTCAAAGGCTCCTGAATAATAACAACAACAACATCAACCCCCAAAAAAGATAAGTTGAGTTCTGGTCATGCAATTGCATTGTGAAAGAAAAGGTGTGGAATGGATCAGAAAAAGTTGATCATGTAGCATGTACATGTAAGTATTGGTGTGTACTGCAAGGTTCTGGAGTCATCAAAATCATAATAAAATTGGCCCAGTCTTGGTAAAGTAACAAGCACTTTACACAGAAAAATGTATATGGGACTACACAAAAATGGTGTCGGGCCTACTTATCTTTCTATGCTCATTACTCAGCCAGTATACATTTTCTACCAAAATTGTTTGGCAAATGACATTTATTTGTAATCTTGAAAATACAGTGTAAGTTTTGTTTGATTTTGTGAGAATTCATTTTCTTTTTTTTTACCAGAACTCAAGTTTATCTTTAATGTTATAGCGCACATATCCACCATGCAAGGTGCTCAAGGCACTCCAATCTAACCAGGCTCTGACCCAAGAATCAAAAGTGTTTTGAATTGATGCAAAATTCTTATCATTGCAAAGGGGAAGCCTTACTGATCAAATATAACAACTTCCCTCTTCATATATGTTTGGAGCTCCAGATTTTCTGCCTTCAGCGGTCCTCCGTAGAGCCTCAAGATTTGTGACGTCATATGCGAGACGCAGCTAACCACAAAATTGCATTTTATGCCTTTCCATGATATCTATATGATTTTTCAGCAAATTTTTCGTGTTTTTCAAGAGAAAATCTTTCCATCCATATATAATTTGTCCATAGTTTTCAGTTCTCGTGAATTTTCTTTGGGTGACTACTTTAAGAAAACTTACTGCAGACATGGAAAATAGCATCGCAGGCCTTAATGTGCGAGAGGAAAGCATTGCCAAGACCCTGACCCTCATGAGCCCCTGCTACCAGACCTGCGATGTCGGTCACGTTCAAGAAAGCAGGAACTTTGCTGAATACAAAAGAAAAGAAAATGACAACGAAAAACAATTATTACATCTTCATCTTTATCAAAGACAAATAATTGTCAGTTCTAATGGGAGATTTGAGACAATCTGGTTGTTCGCCCTATTACAGATGTTACCAGTGGCAGAGAGTGGAATGTAGTTTTGCGACCGACAGGACTTTAAAAATGTGCCCAACCTCCATAGACTTTAGGAGACCCTCCTTAAAAATTCATTACTATAAATACCTTACCCAAACCATGACCGATCTCTCTCAGCAAGTTCCGAGTAATTTCCAAGTGGACTGAGTTTTGCTGGATGCAAGATTTGTACACACGATTCTACCAAGTTCAGAGTAACCAAGCTGTGATGCATTGCATATGGAAACTCCTGAGAGAGTATGTCTTCAAGTTAGCTTTCAGTATTTATAATAAGCTCTAAATTATGACCGTGATTTCAAACTTTTGAAAGGTTACCTGGAACTTGAATTAATCAAATTACTGACCTGTTGATAACCATAGTCAAAGTACAAAGAACAGGTTTAAAACTTTCAATTGCTTTCTTTATGTTACAATTTTTTCAAGACTGGTGGTAATAAAAAATTCAGAGGGTGTCCCGAGACATAAGGCAATTGATTTTGTAGCATCCTACCATTCTACAATACAGACTGAAATAAATAAAGGAACAAAAAGAACAATCTCATTTCCATAGTGGGTAACTCTTGACTCATATTTATATAGGAGAAATAGACATGAATACTTTTATGAAAACACTCACATCTGACAAAATTGGGGGCTTTTCAAGCAAGAGAATTTTGCTCAGCATTCTTGAAGCCCCTTCGCTATGTCAGACATGGGAGTTCAGAGTAGTCATACCTGATTGATACATATTGTGCCTCCTATTAAGGCTGCGACGGGTAGTCGAATGCTCGAGTACCCGCACGGTTGACAACTACTCGGGTACGATTTCTCGTACCCGAATATTCGGCCGCAAAAAAACAAAAATGTCCAGGCCCACGCTTACCCGTGCCAGGGAGAGCAGCAGCCGCTGGCATGGTACCGTCGGTAAAAATGTTTCCCAACTCAAGCACTGTCAAACTCACCTTTCAGAAACTGGGACCAAATGTCCAGATTTCTGTTTGGACTTGGAGGAAAATGGATTATTCTGCCATCTTTGGTTTTTAAAACAGCATTGTTTACTGTTATTATTCTTATTAAATTGGCGCCTTCAACTGCAACTCAAAGTAAAATTGCATGCGTTTTCGGCGAGGGACCTGGGAAACTGCCGAGTGGTATGGTAGTGGCAAAAAAAGAAAAAAAAGAAAAAAAAATCAAAAAATTAAAAAAAAATCAAAAAAAATTAAATTTTTTTTAAAAAAATTAAAAAAATTATAAAAAAACATGGCATCCGCATATTCAAGTATTCGCTTGTGAGCCTGGGAGTGTACTCGGGTACCTCATAACACTGTTGTGCACAGCCTTATCTCCTGAGATAATTGCCTTGCAGTCGATATCCTACACTAACCCTATACGCAACCCTAACCCTAACCCTAACATTACCCTAAAACCCAAATCTCCAACCTAACCCAAGGCTACCAGTTGGCTTCAGTGAGCGTTGTAGAGAGACTCAAACATGTTGGCCAAGTTGTCAAGGTAACTGGTTCTAAACGATTGTGTGGTGATCACACCAGCCTCAAATACTGAAATTTGCTCTGCTCAAGCCAGTTGCTTAAATGATTTCTTAATGAACCTCATGCGCGAGCTCTGCTGGTTAGTACCAGTAACCTGGACGAGCGAATATGATGTTAGCACGTCGGTACTCTATACCTATGGAGAAAAGCCCAAAGCAAATGTCGCCAGAGCATATATTTCAGTTCAGGGCACCGCCTCACCTTAAAGGCTTGTGGAACTCGCAGAGAAAGTCAAATCGGTCATCTGGGACAGGTACCCTACGTATCTACAGAGAAGAACAAAGAAGAACAAAGAAGAACAAATTCCATTAGACCGAAAGAGTACATCCAACATGAATACTTTAAAGGTTGTTCAATATAAGTAGTTTGATGTCAAGATATAATATCAAAACAAGCAAAATACATTTATAATGTATGTACCTTCTCCTGAACTAAGGCTGAAGACGAAATTTAATGCTCTCCATAAACGTAACAATTTCATCTAGTTACCATTATCGTAACGGTACTTAATAATAATCCTAATGGTGGCTTCTAATATACAGCGCACATGTCCGTCAACTAGCGACGCTCCTGGTGTTCCCAAATTATTACCCCTGCCAAAGCTGGGGGCCAAATATGTAGTGCTCCGGCATATATGGGTACCCACTTACACCTGGGTGGAGAGTGGCAAAAGTGGATTAGCATCTTGCCTAAGGACGTAAGTGCTGTGCCCGGATGCCAACCCCCGACCCTTGTATTGCAAGTCACGTGAATGAAATTAATGAACCGTGACACCTCCACTTTCACACAGAATGGATCTTTTTTTGTTTACACCCAATAATTTTCTCATTTCAAGTGATATTATTTGAACAACAGTGTTAAACCTCGAACACTAATGAAAATCGTTTCTTTCCTATATAAAGTTTATCAACACAATAATTATTTTTGCAAAAATCACTCCGCAGAGACAATGTATCAATTTATACAGAACTTAAATTTTTTATACTTCCAATTGTATTTGCAACAATTTAAAGTTGTAAATTATTAATTATTTTTCCATCAGGTTCCATGGCAACATTTACATGACAATTTTTGCTTTGATCTTTGATATGATCAGCATTTTATATAGCAAAATGTAAATAAGTATACTTATTTTCATTAGGATCTGTTGATGACATTCAGCAGACAATCCAGCATGGCAAGAAGAAGAATGAAAAGAAAAGGACTAAAGTTATAATTTTAAGATTTTAACAACAACAACAATAAATAATTATAATAATAATGATGATGATGATGATAATGTTGATGATGAAAATATTAATCATATGATATACATGTATGTTATATATGTTTATAAACAGAATATTGAAGTACATCTATGAAGTTTAATAAATACAATGCAATATATGTCGGTATATATTTACTCTCGATGGGTTAAGTACTAAAAATCTCACAAAATTCCTCTAGGACACTTGTCAATTTACTTGACCTACCTGAACAAAATTCTTGAAAGAATTTTCCTGCAAAGTATACTTTACTAATTGAATGAATACTCTGAAATTCTATATATCATCCAGTCCAGATGTCAAGTCAAGATGAACACATATATGTGCCTACGAGGCAAATAATTACTTACAATCACTTACCGATTGTACAGAAAGGGAAGTTCTCTGCTGCAGCCTGGCTCTTTGTCAAAACATTGAAGAAAGTGGATTTCCTGCAAGTGGTTAAGAATACAAATACATTATAAATAGTGAATTACCTTTGATCTTAAATGACCAGCTGAGTACAGCTGAGAGAGAAGAAAAATTCACAGATTCATCAAGTTATTTCAATTGGCAAAGAGCAGAGGAATCTACTTACCATGTCGTTGTACAGTGAAATATTACAATGTGTGGTTGGCTAATCTTCATTTCAGACCTAATTAATAGTTCATTCCATTTTAATTTTTTTTAAATCTCCATTTCTCTTCAACCTCTCTTTTTTCTTCCGTTACAGTAAGTTCTCAACTCTTCACATTTTCACTAAAGTTTACAAATGTAGATTGCCATTACTAAACAATGGGGCAAGCAAAGTGTGAAGCAAAAGAAAGTGAGATCAGAGAATTATTTACATAGACCTAAGCATAATTTTCATAAAACTATAATGGAGAGATCACAAACTAATTCTGACTCACCCAACATTTGGTAAACCAACAATACCAATCTTGAGGGAGGTTCCAACACGTCCAAACAAAACCTTCTTTGGCGGAGCTTCTTTTCCCTTCTTGGGAGGCATGATGATTAATATCTGTAGAATTAGAAATATAGCAACCAAACAGAAAACAAAATAAGTCTACAGCATATTATAAGCAGATCTTGAGGGATTTTCACCAAACCAGTGGCAGTAGGGGCACTGGTCCGAGAATGAGGATCGTCCTCATCAACGTGGACAAAATGCATCCTCAAAAATAAGAATCGTCTGCATTTTCGCGGACGTTTTTTTCATCAGCGCTCTGCAGGTTTCAGGTTACAAACCGCCCGCTGGCGATGCTAAAAATGGATTCTGCGTAAGAAAGTAACCCTACTTTACCGTTTGCTTTCATGGGTTGTCCGTCTCCCAGAGGATTTATCGCTCATAATGTGAAAGTCTCTGTACAAAGTCAATGTAAAATGCATCAAAGAAAATAATTGCAGAATCTGTTTTTCGCATTGCCAATGCGCCGATCAAAATATAAAATGTCTGCAAAAATATGGACAATCCTTATTTTTGAGGATGCATCGGTCTGCTTTTATGCAAACCCTCACACATTTCTCATCCAGTCCCTGGTAGAGTCTAGAGCAGCTGTATAATTATATAAACTGTCCTGCTCACAAAAAAATGACATGATCATTATTCTGTCTTGGATATAACATTTTAAGCTCTGGAAGAGAAGCCTTGCCTGCGTGTGAGACGTGGCAAATGAGCAAGTGGCGGGAGATGAGGGCCGAGCGACAGAGCCGGAATAGAAATGATTTTTTATTTATTAAGACTAGAGTCTAGACCCTAAACTTAATCATTAATGTTAGACCTACATTTAAATAAAGATTTAATGATTGTTATAAATATGGAATAGTCTAATATAGACCTATATCACTTTAGTCATTCAAATTGCCTCATGATTCATTCGTGTATTATCAGCTGTAATGTAGATCTAGATGATAGATCTAGACTCTAACTTGTATTGTTAAACCCATGATGTACCCACACACGTTCCTCCTGACAGTCATCAGTATCACACTCAATCATCACTGCACTATCACACTGTATCAATCTGAATTTCTACTCGAGTTTTGTGTACTACGAGCAGCTTGCTCACTTTCTCAAGTTATTTGGGTACGCCTACTCATCATTCACTTGCACAAAGAAATAAATGTTAATAATCAAAATGTGATCGAGCTCAATTGTATACTTTTAAGTCTTGCAATACCTGTGTTTTGCCAAACAAAATTCTCGTTAGGTTGCAACAGTCAGATTTCGACACGCATGGCAATGTATAGCATTCGTCCCTGGCCTAGCCCTAAACGTACAACAGTTCGGTACCTGAAGTTAGTTAGCCTAAAATATCTTGATCTTGTTTCAATCAGTGGACGTTGCCAATTTGCAGAGCCAAAATTCAATGTTACGCTAATCCTATATATATATATATATATATATATATATATGCTTGAGAGTTTTTAAATAGAGAGTGCTGCGCTGAGGTTGAGCAGTTGAGAGGCTAGGGGGGTAAGAGGACTTTTTTTTTGTCCCGAAATTTGACCGATCGACATTTTGTTCCGTTGGGGGGGGGGGGGGGGGTAAGGTCGCCTTGATTAGATCCCCCATTAGCATAATTATAAATTTAAAAAAAATTGTTAATAAAAAAAAAATAATAATAAATAAAGAGGGAGTGGTGGGGGGGGGGGGGGGGGGTAAGAGGACACTTTTCTTCTTTTTTTTGAAGTCCAAAAAAAATTGCAAAAACTCAGTCACCTTTTTTAGGTCAGCCATGGGCATAATTATTTTTTCTTTTTTAAAATTTTTTTATAATTAAAAAAAAATAATTATAAAAAACAAATCCAAAGGAGGGGTTTTATGGGGTTTACACACATAATAATACCAAAGGGGGGGGGGGGTTCAACCCCAAACCTCCCACCCCTATGTACGCGCCTGCTTCTGGTAATGTGAATGTAATAATGATGCGTCTATTTCTGATCGCCTGATTTGGCTTGCTTTTTCTCTCTTTTGTGTTTTATTTTCTCTATCTTTTTTTCCCCCTCTACCCCGCCCTCCTTTACGTCATAATCAAAATGTATAGTTCTCTTCCTCCTGGCTTTCCTCCTTCTCCGTCCCCTTTCTTTTTTTCTTTTCCTTCTTTTCCTTTCATTTTCCTTCTCCTTTTCCTCTTTCTCCTTCCCTTCCTTTTCCTTTTTTTTTGAAAACGATAGGGCTGGCCGCCCCTGCCCCCCTGTCGCACCACCCCTGAAATACATGTACAAATTAATGAGGCTTCCCCATGTCCCCCTAGGGCCCCTACTCTTTTATATACCTTCAAGTCTACAATGTGTGCATTTCTCCTGGCATTTCTATAACATCACTGTAAAAGAATCTGCAATTTGGCCCTCTGGCCGATAATGATTTATTGGTGATTTACCAAAACCATTTTGAAAAAGCATTAATTGTTTTGCTTTTGTTACTGTATCACTATAGTAAATTGTTTTATTTTACTCACTATATGAAATAAACATCTTTAACGCTGCAATAAAACTAATTTTTGGATATTCCAAATTGGCAACGTCATGAGATCGACACAAAAATTATTGGACTAACTTCAGGTCCCGGACTGTTGTACATTTTAGCCACTACCGACCGTGGCAAAGGCATGTACGATTAGTTTTACGTGCCAGGAGTTTTCTTATCTTGACCATTTTTGGTAAAGCGCGATCATCATGAATGGGCGTGGCAGGTATTATTGAGTCTGAGAACATGAAGGCGGAAGGCCTTTATCAAAAGGAGCAGTTTTTAACACTATTTTAGGTACATTTTTTCCTTCATGCAGTATTGTATCTATACATAGGCCTTTCGATGAGGGGGGGGGGGCAAACATCGGGCCAATGCCTAGCTTGAATCCTGCGACAAAATAATGTTACCATGCAGGGCCTATAGGTTGGATCGGGGGGGGGGGGGGGGGGTCAGGGCAACGGACGTTCCTTTCATTCCTCTTTATTTTTTCATCTTTTTAATTTTGATCCCTCCCCCTAATTTTTTTTAAAAATAAAAAAAAGTTATTTATTTCCAAATAATGTATTCAATCTAAAATCATTAGCAACAACACAACCAAATATTATCTAGTTTAGGTTTCATTTTGAGTGAATTTAATTTGGAAAGGTTTATTGTTAATATTTCATCTTTAAATATATAACATTATTAAGCTATCGAATTGAATGTTGAATGTATTTCAATTGTAATGTTATTCATAATGTATAGGACATAAGAATGACATTCAGATTTGTTGTTTGGCGTGACACGCGCCCTCAATATCTCATCGGCTTCCCTTTATTGATGACAAAATTGCATCGCTTTTATCTATGTGTCAAAATTCTGCAAAAATTATAAGTTGAGATGTTAATCATGATTCGGGCGAGATACGTGAGTCAGCCACCTTTAATATAGATGGCAAAGGTGTGTCCTTAAACGTATGATTATTAAAAACACGATAATACAAAACAACTAAAACAAACAAACAGACATGATGAACACATGTTTGTTTAGTCATGGACATGGTTCAGGGCCATTGGCCCATCAATGGACTTCACCATCTCTCACTAGCTTTGTTGTATAGCGCCATCTCCTCGGGGAGAATATTATCGTTTTTATGTTTCAATATGAGCAAAACATTACAAGAATCAGTGGCGGATCCAGCCGGCGGGAAGAGGGGGGGGGGGGGGGGGGGGGGAGGGGGGCCAATCCGTGAGAAAATATTAGTTGCGACTCAACCACCGGTGAATAAGCGGGGGGGGGGAGGGGGTAGGAGGCACTTTTTTTGTCCAATTTTTCAGGAAATATTTTACCCCGACTGAGCCAGCCGGTAAATAAGCGGGGGGGGGGGGGGAGTGGGTAAGACCACTTTTGCTGTTGTTGACCCGGCAGCCCCCCCCCCCCCTGTGGATCCGCGCCTGCAGAGGATCCAGCCGGCGACAAGGGGGGGGGGGGGGGAGCCAAATCTTAATACAAAATTTAGCGTCGACTCAGCCGGCCGGCGAATAAGTCGGGGGGGGGGGGCCGGGCCGGGAAAATCGCTACGTGGATCCGCCCCTGACAAAAATAGCACAAAATCTGAAAGAAACCATAAAGAGAATAAAAAAACGAACATCATGATTAACAAACAAACAGAACACTCGTCAGTCGTAAGAAGCAAAAAGGTTGAACTGGAATTTCAAGCAGATGGTTCTCCGGTTTGATCTTTGGTTAAAAGAAGAGATAAGATAAGATTTGTCTTTCTTTCAAATGTCACATAGAGCCTTATTTAGATCTTTACACATTTACAATGCAAACACATTATGGCAATGATAAAAATCAAAATGAACTATAATAAAGACGAGGAGACCCTGGTAAAAGCAGAGCTTGTAAGTTTTAAGGTCCCCTCTGGAGTCTGGACCAAATAATAAGGTACATAAGCAACAAGATAAACATGATGGGAGTATAAAGTGCGTCCCAGAAGAAATAAAAACAAAACCGAGAATTATCGATGTTTTATCATAACTTAATCACAATTATAATTAAAGAATGACACATATTTTGTGAAGCTTAGATCCTCCTCTTTTATTTGATGCAACTGTCAACTGGTGCATATAATCACACATAAGTGATTAAAAACGATACGAAGAGAGGGTATCAAAAAGTCATTTGGCGGCGTTTTGTTGACGATCAGCCATGCGCAATGCATGCATGGCTGATCGTCAACGAAACGGATTTAAGTCTTGTTATCTCTGTTTGTTGCTACGGCAGGCAGCCAGTGAAAACGAATTCGTTTAATCAAATTATGGAAATGCTAGCATTTTAAACAAACAGAACTTTGTCATTCCTGGCTCATTTTTCCTGATTGAGGTGTCATGAAAGGGCAAAAAATGAACTTTCTATTGTGCTTTGAAATTCAGATACCGCCCACCAAATGAATGTTTGGTACCCACTCTAAAAAAATTGTTTTAATCAATCATGCGGGTAATAAGCACCATATGAGTTGCATCAAATGAAAGAGGAGGATTTAAGATTCACAAATATGC